AAGTCCGTGGCCGAGCGAAGAGGCAAGGCTCCAAAGTGATGTGAGGCTACTATCATGGCCCTAATAGTTTCATGGATAGGCAATAGGGGATAGTTACTTTGTTTTATTTTCGACACAATCGATATGATGATAGGCTAATAGGATAGTGCTTGATCTTGGTAAGCTAGGCAGTGAGTGTGGATGCAAGGGTCTAGAAAGGTAATAGTGGTCTGGTAGTAAACAAGTAGTGACTTCATCACTTCCCGTGCTGAAGCGCTACTGGTAATATCCTGTATATAGCCTGGTAGGCGTGGGAGAGTTCTCTCTTCACGAAACGTCTTCTTACGTTTGTACACATATTGTACCGCTTCACATTTCTCTTCCTTACAGAAGACCACTTCAGTGCTGTCCTATATTCATACTCAATATCACTTCGTGCCCTTCGGAACGTTAGTAGTAAGCTCCTTGAGAAATAGCTATCCAAGAGAGGCGGCGGGCGATCAACCGTTCAACACCTTTCCCCGGGATCGAGAGGAGAGGAGTGGTTCGGTATGAGCGTGGGAGGGATTGATCTGGCTTATTAGGCTTACTTAGAATAACCAGTACAGCAGTCTTGAAGCAAGCAGTATGGTGACAAGCCTGAAGGCAGCCTCTAAAAAGACTGTTGACCCGAATTTCAATTAATGACTAGCCCATCCTCAGGATTTCCGTTGGAATTTTAACCTCACCAGGTGCTGTATTGTCTACTTTGATGGCCGAATCCCTGATTTCAGCTGGCATTAGGTTCGGAAGCGTAAGGCTGATATTACCGACTGATGATACATCTAATGCAACGTCTGCTACTTCAGAGGCGTTTTGCAGTATGTTCAGAGCTAGCACGTCGCGTTTCTCTTGAGATGTGTTTGCAGGTGGGCTCCGGGTTTGGTTAGGTCTTTGAGAGGTGGGGTGCGAAATGATCCTACCGTTCCGTGCCACTTGACCACTCCAAACACATTTTTTGCTGTATTGGCCTGATCTATTTTGTCCTGAAAAAACTTTCGCTTTTCCTTGCGGACAGGTGCACGTAATAGCTTTTTCCCGGCGGTGATAGCATTTTGGTCAGTTGAGCTTCTTCTGATTGTTCGGTAGGCCTGCGCAGCGTTTCTGCAGTCGTTGTTCCATCAAGGTTGTCTAGTCTCTTTTCCAAGGGCTCGCTGTGCGGATGCTTTGGGCGAAGAGATCTTGAGAGTTAGGCTGCGGGTTTGCAGGAAGGTCAATGAGTCCTGCGATCTCTAGTTCAAGGAGAAAGAGGAAAAGTCTTTCGTCAAGTGTGCTGAGTTTGAGGCGGGATATTGGCTCCTGGAAGCGGCTGACCCAAGGGATTTAAGACGTAATAGGGAGATTTTCAGATGTTACGCCCCGTTCCGGAATAACCGCGAGATTTGGGTTTATTGGATTGATATTTGTGGGTGTCGCATACCAAATAGGCATGTGACTCAAGTGGCAAGACGCACGGTAAATCTCTACTCCAATATGATAATACGAATCAAGTTTTATATGCTAGATCATGGATATCAAGTATAGACGAAAAAAGGAGGTTTTATCTGTAGAAAAATTACAATTATGTAACTCTCTAATGATTGGGATATGTCTTCTGCAAAACAATATCGGAATCAATCCTAGCTTCTCATTAAGCACTCTCATGAACCTATCTCCGTGTCTGTGATAACAGGCCAATACATTATATTGACCTGCAAGACAATCAACGAATACAGTCGCAGGCTCTTATTTCAGAAGAGTTAGAGTCGATAAAAAAGCTGCCACAACTTTGCAGTCGTATCTGCAAATGAAATCCGAGACATGAGTGCATTTCTTTGGGATTAATTTACCCATTATTTACTTTATCTCTGATCTTATATCATAGTCTGACAGCTGCACTCACAATTAAAAACTGTTACAAAAAGAAAGATCGGCGAGGGCAAAATCCTTCGTTAGGCAAGATCAAGAAAGAGGTAAAGAAAAAAGGGTGAACAGTTTCCTCGGCTGTTAAGGCAACAAATCAAGTTCGGCTAGGAATCAATTCCAAATGTGTATCAGAAGCACTCCAAAACTCGTTTCTCAGGGTGGGACCATGTCTGCATGAAGAAAACACTATGATGATGTCAGTGTCAATGTGGAAATTATAGATGTTATGAAATATCCCCTATTGCCGCTATCCACCGCATCCTACCGTTTGAGGGCTGAGGAGGCCTCGATGAGTGGTTGGATGAAGTCTCAATTGAGTGAATCAACGCGTGGATGATTATTGGAGATATTGATACAAGTCATGGCTGGGATTAAAGGGCAAGGATAAATTAGGGGTTGGGAGAGTTTTCGGGGCTCGGGCGCGTGGTGGCCGACGCTAAGGAGGGAATTGCGCTTCGGCGTGTTAAAATCGAGTTCTCTGGACAGCTGGATTAATTTTATTTATTTTCATTAGTGTCCTATTTGAGTTTCCAACTGTGTAGGACAGACTAAGTAAGTACAACTTTTCTTTCTGATTCTAATTGGGGGTTTCCTTAATTTGATTGTGGGACCCCCACTACTGGTTCACCAGGGGTCTGGACAGCTGGATTGACATTTTCAATATATGAGTGAAGTCTGGGGTGGAACTGCCATTCGGATGAGGCGAGTTTTATTGTACTTACCATGGTAGTTAACCGCCGGCAAAGACGAATTCTTCACCTTCCAGTGGTGCCGGTGTAATCGCTCAGTATGCTCTGCATATCTGGGATAGCCAAGAAGAATCGCATCCGAATCGAAGTCGAAAGCAAACACATGTATATCTCCATTTGACGACTTCTCAACCATGCAGCACTCATCATTATCTTCTGAGTCCTCAACCCCGATCTAAGCACATATCAACTCGCCTCGCCGACCGATAGAGGCGTCACCCTAACTGCAAACAGGAGCTTGCCTCATTCATTACCGGCCATCACTCTCTACATATTTACGACGCTATTTATACCCGCAAGGAGGAAATCAAGTCGAAAAATACAAAGTTGGGGTCTTGGTTTATGGGGGACTGCTGCTCTAATGGGGTTATACATCTTGAGGAAGAACAGGCAGCTGAGATGTGGAGCGAGAGGAGAAAGAAGACTCTGAAGACTGTGTTGGGACTGACATTTTCGAGGAGTTTCCAACTTTGGATTTTTTGTGGGCGCCAAGACCAAGATTTCGGCTAATTAGCCAGGAGGGCTTCTTTTGTCGATGAGTCAACGGCACTCCCCAGCGCCCTGGACGGTACAAAAGAAGTTAGGCTAAGCTACCATACAGCAATCACGCTCTGTCAGGACTTTTCTGACATTTCGGCACGACCATCGGGAAGGGGTTGGAAGGAGGCTAGAAAGGCAGAGGGTGAATTTCCCGAGGTACACACAAGTCTGCAGCGCCCAGCTGGCCGGCCTCTTCGAACGCTTCAGAAGGGGCAATATGTCTTCGGATTTATTCCTAATGTCGGTATTAGAAGAGCCCCGCACCCAGTGGTTTTTGCGAATTTACCCGGCTGCCATACACCCGCAAATGGCCATCGTTTCGTTGGCTGGAGAGGGGAGATAATGAAGGGCAAAGGGCTCCTCTTAGTGTATGATCGAATGAGGACTTGTGAGGGGTGGTACTGTTTGAGGGGAGCTGTATGGGAGGCATAGGAGGGGATATACTACTGGTATAGGTATCCTTGGCCTGTAGGCAGAGAGGACCTGCATGTCCTACATAGTCATAGACTCAGACAGGACAATAAAATGAATTAATAATAATAATGGTAGTTAACCCGATCCAGCGCGAGCCTACTCGTGCTCAAGCTCCCATGGGAGTGCAGAGGGTGTTAATTGCCTATCACGCTAATACAAAACAGGCATAGTGTAGTATGCAGGGCCAAATAGAGCAAAACATATCGATGATGAGTAAGATACCGCCAATGGCCGAGATAACTTGGCAAATACTACTGAACGGAAATACCACTTTACCCAATTAGCTATCTAAAGGTAATTAGTACTGGTAAACTGTCATGCAAATATATCTGTAACTCCTGCACACAAAGTAAGGCAACATGACAAAATTTGCATCCCTGATCCGAGTGTATTGGCAGGTTGGTTTGTGGCCTATTGTGCTACTTGGGTCTATGACTATCTAGCACGTTGGGCTCCTCACTGGCCCAGACCACACCTTGTACAGTGCTCATATCCTCTTTTGTAATGAAGATCCATGATTTATTGCCCGTGATGAATAGCTATTCAGCTCAATGCTTACCCCTAGAATTTAGTCACCTTTTTCCCCGAACTTTCGATTTAGAAGAAAAAAGGAAGCAATAAAAGCTGTGTGCTCGGGAAAGTGTCTCAAAAGGCCTGCAGTCCCCGCCAGGCGAGGCTTAGACACCGGGACCACACGAGGCGTACATATCGATCAATATCTCCGTTCTTTGAAACATCAGAGGCAAACCTGACCCAATCCCTCATCATCATATTGGGTGCTGGGTACGCACCGGAAACTCACCGGATGGCTATTCATCCATGATCAAGATTGGTGACGACAAGGGCTTCGAATCTACCATCTGATCTGATCGTGGTTAGCTTCATGGTAGTGGTGATTGGGGGTTGTGTTGAGAGACATAGACAATACAGGCTGCGGAGGCGATTGGGAATCCTCTTAGAAGTGAATGCGGAAGTGTTGTTTAATCGCGGCTCTGCAGACTCCGTTGAGAACCTCAGGACAGCACGGAACGCCGGTGACATGTGTTCGGTCCTGGTTACCCCTGTTTCAATGTTAATAAGCGATGAAACGGATGGGCTCCGCTGCTAGACAGCGGAGCGAAGCCCCAGTGAGATAAATATTTTTCGTGGTGGATTAGTTTAGTCAGCACGCACAACGAGAAGCCAGATTATAAATTCTACCTGTCAACTTCAGCTCCTTATCCCGTCATCAACCACCATTTCTACCCCATCCCTAATTAAAGTTCAACAGCTACAGGGCAGTCTCCGAACCAACTTCGGACGCTAATCGTCCTGATGTGGCTATTCCATGTCCTTTCCTCGTCTATCTTCCTTACCTCTATTATATTATCTATACCAATCGCTTTCGATGTTGGAGGGCGCCAGTGTGGTCTGGCATTCTCCCTTAGCCTCTTTTTCTTCTACTTTTTCTACACACTATTGAAACTTGCGACTCCAGAGAAATCACGATTGCGCTGGGCACTAGTGCAATTAATCGGAGCTGCTCAATGGATCATTATACCCGGACTACTCATTTGGAGTATGAACCGATTCCCTATAGAATCTACAGGCACTAGTGAATGGGTCGCCAAAACATCAACCGACCAATACACTGAAATCAGGAATGATTTGAATTGGACGAAGTCTGGATCCCTACTTGAAATCCTTGTGATTGGAAGCTGGGATAAAATACTTAGATATTCAACGTCAATCTTTCAGCTTGTGGAAGGATTCTGCAGTCTCCTTGTAATTCAGGCAGCTGGCCAAATAACTAGATGGCTTGTAAATAAAGGACGAAGTGATATCTGGATGGTCAGTAATATGCTTTTCATGGCAGAATATAAGTTGACGTGAACTAGATAACTTTACTTGTGTTGTCTGCGTCAATAATGTCAAGCTCCGTCTACTTCCTGTGGCGTATAATCAACTTTCCGGGCATCAGTAACGCAGATGCCATCCTTATCGGTGTATTTATAACATGCGCAGTTTTTCTTGGTATATGGGGAATTGGAAGTGGAAGGGGAAATCCAGTTGAAAGTTCTTTGTTATTTGCATATGTCGTTCTTTGCATGTATCAAATATTCACTGATTATCTACCCCTACTCGTTACCGACACTTCAGAAGCTAACCCCCAAGCGGACTTTCCGCCATTTCCTCCAATTATTATGGCTTCCTACAGTACAATAACCTACTTACTATCAACGTTACCCTCCACAGTACTCTCTGGGCTGTATCTAATCCTTGCAGCCTTCCAAACTATCAGTCCGTTTGTCATCATCTCGCTCGCATATCGAATTTTCGTCTTCTATGCTTCAACCCGGATCATCCCTGCCGTACGAGAGTCGGGTGCTCGCGCATTATCACAGGAGCCTAGCCTTCAGGACCGGGATGGTGCCGGTAAATTACTTGGATTACTTATATCATTTAGCCCAAGTATCTTGGTGGCAGTTTACACGAGTCTTTTGATGCAGCATTTTTCAACAGCACCATCCGGTAATCACGAAACTGGATGGCTCACAAAACATGACAGCAATTCGAGGACAATAATCTGGAGATGGATAAACTTAACCGGCACGATGGCTCTTTACGTTGTAGAACTTTACCTTGGGCAAGAGGATCTAGACGATTTCCTGACGGGTCATTGGAAAACTGATTAGACTTCAGTTGTCAAAAGCTACAATTATGTATTAATACTACCATTGGACAGTCCCTATGGAGTTACTCTAAATTTCAAACGAACAGAATATTCCAGGCCTTAGATGGATATAAAGAAAGACAACATACCAAGGAAGAATGAACCGAATCGAAAATTCTACCATCATAAATATAGCCAATAGAATGTACAGGAAAAAGTTTGTTATTTCGAAAAACTTTTAGAATTAGCACTCTACTGAAATCTCTCGTGGAAATACCTCACAACTAACAAATTAAATCCGCCAATTACTGTGGAGAGCCCTACCAGATAAGCCATCAACGCTCCTTTTGCCAATCTTTCACGAAAATAATCATTTCAGCTACACGGAGATACGACTACCTTCAAAGGCGGGATAAATACGGCCTAGCTTCACATGTAATGGCTGATTAAAATTATCGTCTTCACAATTCACACGCGCGTCAAATCAAACCTTGAGTGTCATGCCAAGAATTTTAGCTAGTTTTACGGACAGAATTACAGGATAAACTGGCTATTGTTAAAACTCAAAGCCAAATGTTTGAGGTCAAAGAAAGTGGTAACATCGGTTTGAAGTCTAGATACGGCTTACGGATTAGGCTTCGAACTAGTAATGGTTTTACACAAATAATATTTACACCAAAACTACCGATTCAGAAAAGTTTTTTACAGATCGTGATAAAAATTGGTTTTATTCATTTAGTCAGAAATGACCCGATAGTCAAAGACATCAACGGGGATCGGCTGTGTTTTTTTGCTTCGCTGCCCCACTTGCCAAAAATATCGGAGTATCCATGCTTATGAGCCCTAGATTGCAGGGTATAGGCCTCAACAGCTCAACGGTTTCAGCGCCACTTCCCTGAGGCTTACTGTGGCTGAATTTTCTAATAGACGCCACTAAACTCGCGTCGAATATCGCACTGACCAACATCACTTCACGTGTAGAGCTCACACTTAAAAACGAGCTTCTTCCACTTACATTTTATAACCACAGAGTTACCACCAGAACAACTCAAACTCATTCACAAAGCTCTAGATCTAGACAATATTTTTGAATTGAGCTACTATTCGTGTCCTGACAGACATGTCGGCTGCTATCTTAAAAACTAGTTTTAATTATAGTACAATGAGGCCATCTTGGCTCTCTCAAATACTTCCAACGGCTGCAAGAAATTTTTGTCATCAACAAAAGTCAAGTTCATCGGGAAAATTATTAAATGTAGGATACCCCTATCCCGACCCTTCACTGTGACTTCAGCTAACTTGACAGTCTTTTTACCGCCCGGCGATAACATCCAGCTCCCGATATTTTAAACTGCAACAAACCCCCTCTGTCATCTATCAGCCCGCCATCAGATTACTGAGTAATGCATCTGGCTCATCATTACAAGAATTCCAAGTTACTGCGCCCAAGTCGGCGAATCTCCATACTTCTTCGATCGACTTTTTTTTTCTTCCATGTACAACTGAATATTCACGCCCCATTAGCAAACTCCGTGTTCCTTTACTTCCCGATAACTTCACTCCCACACGTTCGGCCGACACTGGACATGCATTTGAAACATCAGATAACGCATTTAGGCTATCAGAACTTATCGTAGTAGCCAGCCATCCAATGAATGTGTCACACGCAAGTAAATGTGAGGTTCTATGTAACGATAGCTCTGATGCTCAGACGAACCAAATCGCAAGTATTTTGTAGCTACAATGGCAACATTGCATGGTACACTACGTGCGTCTCATTAGTCGAGATTCTAGAAGTTCACTCTGGACCTACGTTATTTAACCAACTTATTAAATTTGGCAGTTCATTATGCTTATCATTAGTCCAAATCGAAGCAGTTCGTTTACGAGAAGCAGAGTTTCCAATTCAGGTACAGATTTCTGGTACAAAAAAATATACAGGAGTCATTTATTTTTATCCCTAAACGTATAACTTGGCATTGTAATCAGGAACATCTGAGGCATTATATCTAGCATGTAGAAGTCAACCCTTTTAATTCATACTTTTCTCACCATGTGCTGCGCATTCGCGAATCTAGGATCTTGCACGTATGAGTAACAAAAAAAGTGCCACGCTCATGAGGATATTAAAAGTAGAACAACAAGCATCATTCAGACCGGGCATTATGCGGGCTACTGACTACCTCAGCGGACAATTTGGATCAAAGTATATTGACCAAAAGTTGTGAAGCCAGTAATTCCCCAAAATACTAAGCCACAACACGATAGGAGAAGTAGAAACTTCAACCACACCATGATCAGAACTTTATCCTAGAAAAGATGCGCCCTGACGGACCCACAACACAAGGGTTTCGCGTGAGTAATAAGCTCACGTGTATGTCCTGTAGCGTCGGGTCACTTTTTTAATTATATTATTCTCCTTTCTCCTTTCTCAGACTAAGATCATGTAGGACATGCATGTCGCGCCGGGACTTTACTAGATTGTAGTCACGTTGGTTTTTACAATAATTGGCTACGGCGACTTCCACTCATCCCTTCACCCATGACATTGATTGCATAAGATTTGGACAAGAGGTCCAGTAGCGTCTTATCTTGAGAAACTAACTACGCTGTCTAATAGATAGGGACAGAGTGTAAATGAGGGTTCCAAGGCCATGCTTGGTTACTAGATGAAGTATCCAGCGCACGGGCAGTATAGCATAGTCGCGGCCGGGAGGTGAAAAATAGCCAAACAGGGAGTAAGGAGGGGTGGCGTACGAGAGCGGGGCTCGCTCCGGCAGGGTAACGTGATACCGGATCATGTAACGCTTGCAATGCGGGGATCCGAAGATGGGGAGCGCGGAGGAAATGCATCGATTTTAAATTGGATGGAGCTGCCTACACAAGCCACGAGTGTGATCTTGACAGACGGCGCACAGTCAAAAAACCTGGTTCTCTCCGCCCGGATCTTGAACTTTGTCTCGTTGATTGAAGATAACCAGACGAGCAGAATTAGCCGGGGCCACTCGCGGTTATCGCGTATCTTGGACTGAGATTTCCAGGCCCGGCGAGACCGGATCTGTTATCGTGATCTGGCCACGTCACGCGACCGTGGGGGGGGGGGGGTCAGGACGCGCAACGAGCGTTTGGAGGAAAAGGAGCCAAGAAGTCGGCAGGCTATCAGCTTCATGTTTGACCAGTGTCGGAGTCACGCTGGAACGGGCCAGGAAGTATGGCCTCCCAGTTCGGGTTGGATGCGCCGATTGAAGATAGCGATTGGTTGAGGGTATCCAAGAAGGAGACTCCCATGTGTCCTGCAGAATACGAAAAGGGTAGTCGTGATCATGACATGGGGTCTGCGAAGCGAAGAGGCACGCTAGTGCGATAGCGCGGAATGAATGCTGCTGAGAGAAGCAGCTAACCCTTAGCTGGGAATCGATGAGATGCAATGTGTGTTCCGGCCCAAACCTTGTCGTCGGTGTTCCCGGCCAAGTGCTGGCAGCGCCTCAGCCTTGTTGCATGGGAAAAGCTGATTTGCGCACTGCAGGATGATCCATCGATCTTATCTCGTCCCTGCTACTTCCCTTGAGAACTCACCCTCCTGCACCTCTCTGACCACAACATTGACTGTCACTCACGCGTGTCGTCGCATGACTGCTTCTTGCAACTGGTATCATTTCGTCTGTGCCACGGAATTCTAGCATCCATATTTTGTGTGGGTATCTAAAGCCCCTCAGATACCAGATCCTCCAAAGCATACGCTGTATCCTAGGTTCCACACCTGGTCCAGCTTCCCATTGCTTCATGGGCATAGTATGGTGCAATTGTCAATCATAGGGGCTAATCTCTTGTCGATCTGACCAAAATTCACGCGGTGATTCTTAGATATCAAGGGGTTGAGGGAATTTCCATTCATTAATTTTATAAATTATTTTCACATTCAGCCGCGAAGCTATGGCGCATGATCGATATCTTATGTTCACGCAAAATGACTCTTGTAACTCTGGAGAGATCCGAACTCTAGAATATCTTTGCATGTGCCACAATAAGACAAGTCCGTTTGCACAGAATAGCCGACCCTCCCCCATGAGTGCCCATCATGGAAAAGCTTCAAACCCCTTTTCATCCTTGCCCATAAGCATCATGAGTTGTGTTGTGTAGTATCGCTGAATTCTAACCAGCAATCTCCTACCTCAAGTCGCATAAGGATACAAAATATACAGTCTCTATCAGGCAAATCTACCTGGATGATGTACGACACGGCCATCCAGCCATGTCGATGTCAATAGTTACGTCCGAACTTTCACAAACGAAGTCGTAGTACGGAAAAATCTCTTGGATACGTTATCCCCTTTCCACAAAAAAGGCATACACTTTTCGAGATGATATCCATCATGAGTAATTATCTTTCCAAATATTTGTGCCACGAATTGACTCCACTTGCAGGTATTATAATTGTCGTGCGCGTGTATTTAGAGGCCAATTGAGGTGAGAGACCGATTAGATGAAAGGTATATTATAGGAAATGATAATGTACTAGGTCCTGCATCTAGACATGATGCTTTGGTCAGAATCTATACTACTGGCATTAAAACATTGATGTGGTAGGGAGTGTTGGATCATTGCTTGTTCATCTACTTCTTGAGTATTGCGATATATGACTGGACTTAGCTCTCGTAGAATCTCTGACATGCAGGTTCGTAGTAGGTACCGTATAAAGTTGCTCAGTATTCATACCCCAAGGGCATTTTGAGGTACTTCAATGGCGTTTGGTACCGCCATAAACCTTCTGTTTCTCAGCGCCGATGATGATGATATTTTTATCGTGACCGGGTACTAGCCCAGCACCCAGAGGGCATGGCACGTGTAGTCCAGATCTATACGACTCTTCGCTACCTACATCATTGTCTCGTAGAAACTTGAACACACAAAACTAAAACAAGTAAAAACACCATTTCTAGTGTGCTAGCGCCCTGCGCTACACCTTCATTCTCGTACCACACCCAACGGTCCCAAGAAGCATTGCAGTTGACCTTCACATCCCCTGTTCACGATTCAATCTTGCTGTAACACTTTGTTACAGCTAAAAAACGCCAGAATTTCTGCCATCCTTCCTGCCCTATCATATCCCTGATCGTAGGACGTGGTTCTTTTGTTTCCGTCCTCCATTTGTGGATAGTTGGGCGACACTCTGCAAAATGCCATGGCCGCTCTTCTCTGCCACATTTGCAAAGTATTTCTTCATTCTGGTGGTGGAACCGTCTATGATAGCTGGCGAAGTCACCATGCCCAGTCCTTGCTGCGATGAGACGGTAATATGCCCATCGAGGTAGAGCTAGCTCAGGAGGGCGTTTTCTACGCATCAATAGGTCCAGATCTTCATACCTACTCGATCTGTTCTTAAGTCACCATTCTTCCGCAAGTTTTTGTACCCGGATGTTGACTTGGCGTTTGGGAGCTGCAAAAGTCAAAACTTCGTGATTTTCCTCCCAGATGCACTCTGGTCCCGGTATGTTTTTCTCAGCGCCGATGTCGTTGAAGATGTTATCGGATGCTAAAAAGATAATTATGAGCCCTCAGTCATGAGGTTGTAGAGCATATTCATTCAAGTAATAACCGAAGTGAGAGTAACTACATGAGTTGTGTTCATTTCCGTACCAACAACTTGGTCTAATTGAAAACCCTAATTATCCAATCTTCCAACAGATCCGCAAGTTTAATAATAGGGGAGATAGCTCAGCTTAAAGTTGAAAATTAAAAGCTAATTTTGACTCTGCAGGCCCTAACGTGTCATTTGAAGATGGGAGGTGACACCATACTCATATGTTGAGTTATCGTCTTTTTTAGTGTGTGATCGATGAGATGTGTTTATCCGCTCCCAAGTTGCACACTACAGCTTAGAATCTATTCCTGAGACTTTTATTCTTTGCCTGAAAGTTGACGATTTCTTCTTGCATAAGGGCACTATGACTGCGACTGAGAGTATTGGAAGTAAGGTTTGGTTTGTTCATTAACGTGCTAGGTAAAATGATTACCGTTGCACTCCTACTGGAGCTTAAGCACGGGTGGGGCCGGGCTGGATCAGGTTAACTACTATATCAGTACATCTACCTCGTCACACCTGAATGACCTGACCAACCCAGACTTCACCCATATGTTGTATCATGTCAATCCAACCGTCCAGAGAACCCCCTTTTGACGCACCTAAGCGCAAGTTTCTCCACAGCCTCGGCCACCACGCGCCCGAGCCCTTGACACCTTTGCGATCTATAGCTTTTCCCTTCGATTCAATCCCAACTTTTGCTCATCTTTGCATCTCCCCATCTCATCCATGGGTCGTTTTCTTCATTGGAGGCCTCATCCAGTTGCCCACCAAGGCCTCCTCAGTCTGTGTTCCCATTAGTTTCCTTCATACGGCATCCCTCTGTCCTTCAGTCGATCTTGCCATCCCAGAAACTTTGTAGAATGTCCACCTCCCCGGCTTGCCCCGTCGCTGCCGTACCCCTAACCGTGGAGGTCGAAAACGCGACTGAGAGCTCGCAACCGAGGCACCGATGCCCCAGCCTTTGTTGAACGCTCTAGTTGGTGTGCTGGCGAAATGTCGTACGTATTTCGTCGGCGGCGACTCGTCGTCAGTCGAGTTGTTGGTGCACTTGGCCGAGGTGAGGACGCATCTAAGGCCGGTATTTCGACCGTACCTTCACAGCTACTAGCAATTGCGGAGGATCGGACATCCTCTTGCTTCTTTATTGGCGATTTGAATATAGGAGGAATGGGATTGTTTCGGTAGGTGATGAGATGATTGTGGAGAGGGCCGCGAGATAAGTTTGGCTGTGAATGATTTTCCAGAGACAAAGAAAATAAAATCTTGAAGTTGTCGGTTGTTGTAATACGAACATCTGTCAGGTTATAGCCTGTCTGCGGTTCGTATCTGGGGTGTAGATGGTTGATTTCGTTGAGTTGTGCAGTCGTGAAATCTCTGCTAGTCTGATTTTCGACCAAAAAATGAGCCAACACCACTCCTCGCGATCGCCAACCCGACGAAAACTCTCAAATTCACCCTTTGTCGTGACTGAATCTCGGCTCTGGGATAATATTTCACTCTCAGCTTCGTAGAGGACACCACTGACAGGTGTTCAGCCTTTATCCTCCCAAAGCTCCCATGGGAGTGCAGAGGGTGTTAATTGCCTATCACGCTAATACAAAACAGGCATAGTGTAGTATGCAGGGCCAAATAGAGCAAAACATATCGATGATGAGTAAGATACCGCCAATGGCCGAGATAACTTGGCAAATACTACTGAACGGAAATACCACTTTACCCAATTAGCTATCTAAAGGTAATTAGTACTGGTAAACTGTCATGCAAATATATCTGTAACTCCTGCACACAAAGTAAGGCAACATGACAAAATTTGCATCCCTGATCCGAGTGTATTGGCAGGTTGGTTTGTGGCCTATTGTGCTACTTGGGTCTATGACTATCTAGCACGTTGGGCTCCTCACTGGCCCAGACCATATGAGGTGCGCATATCCTTCAATATCTCCCTTCTCTGTAACATCAGAGACTAATTTGATTCAATCCCTCATCATCGTATTGGGTGCTGGGTACGCTCCGGAAACTCATGGGATGGCTTTTCCTCCATAGTCAAGGTTGGTGACAAGAAGGGCTTCAACGATACCACCTGATCTGATGATGTTTAGCTTCATGTTAGTGGTGACGGGGGTTGTGTTGAGAGATGAAGACAATACAGGCTGCGGAGGCGATTGGGAACCTTTATGGAAGTGAGGACGATGGCACTTAGTTTCGTCTCCCTCGGAAATGGTCATCATAGTGTTATTGAGCCTCTCGAGACCAACCACCCATGTCATTCAAACTCGATGCAGGACTTGTGCTTGACTCGTTCAAATAACAATCAATCATACTGTCAAAGATGAATAGTAATGTATATCTCCTTTCCTTTCATCTTCATGTGATGACTCGATAACCGAAATCCTTCAATACCAATTGTCCACCATCTCGCTGAAATGAGACCCAATCCTTCAAATTACGTCAAGTCTCGAAATGATATGACTGGATTCTTGGATTCAGAAACTAGACGAAACTCATTTCACATAAAGTCTAGGAAATTCGTTTGTAATAAATCGCATCACCGTTGGAAAATATTGGCCATTAGGGATTCCGAGTCTCAGCAAACGTTTCCTACAATTCACGTATTTGAATTACTCGAAAAGAATCTTGATGCAGCGTTCTCATAACTGATCTGAAAATTCGCGACAAAAAGCTAGCAAAGATAAATAACATCAAACCGAGGGTTTGAAAAGTAACCTTGAATAAGAAACTGACCGATCCAACCTGTCGGAATGTTATGGTGTGCTACCGCATTTCTCTTGATTGCGGGAAAGAGCTCGAATCGCTTGGATCGCTTGGTTGTTGCGACTGATGAGGTGGACAAGCCATCCTACGGAGTTTATGAAGTTAAAGGCCGTGATTACTTTCCACACTCGGAGTTCATCGATCACTTTATGTTGACTAAGACAAAAATCACAGAGAAAGGGACCTACTACATGTCTTATTGCTCAGACTACCTCAAATCCGTCGAGATAGCTAGCATCATCACTGAAGGACTAACGGACATCACATATCAGGCCCACGTCGGACTTGCCCACGATACGAAGATGGAAAAAAAGTGTCTGACATACCTATCTTCTATATCCAAGCTAGGACCGGAGCAAAGTGTGATAGATTTATCGAAATGCGAGAAAAAAGTGAGGAAAATGTGCACCAGCCGAATAATCCTGGACCTAGCATTTAAGGGTATTATTGCTGTAGATGGACCATACAAAGCGTTTGCACCGCGAATGGCTGACCAACTGATTGTGGTAACCCACGACCAACCTTTAGACATGAGCTCCCTGTTCCTAAATGGAGAGACATTTGCAAGAAGTGGCACAGAGCTTGAACAGAATGCGCTGGCTTGGTATCAGGGACATTTGCATCTATTCAAGCAGAACTTAAAAACAAGCGAGTGGACCCCAGTCACGCAGATAGGATCGGAGGTTAACAACGGACCATTGATCACGAATCACGTTTTAGAAGCACTTCCTGACTCCAAGCTTCAATGGACACAATTTTATAAAATGAAGGAAGAGATTACAAGGCCTTACAATCCTTGGAATCTTCAAAGAAGTTGGAGATATGATAGCTATTCACAAGAAATCTATAATTTTCTTAATTCTGATGAAAGAAACTATGATCATTTAATACACACTTATCCTTTCTTGAATAGAAATTACAGGAACCATATTTCTAGATTTCACGAATCATTGCGATATTACTTTGACAATTATTCACGGATTTTACATCAGATATTTTGGTACAGTGAGAAACTATCTCATCAAAAATTGATGCCTCATCGCACCACGGGCACGATGAGTCAATTCGAAGAGAAGGTGATTACAGAAGCATAAGGGACCAGAAATTTTGATATGAAGCTGAATTATATCTATTTGGAGATAATTGTAGTTGATTGTCTGTGTGTTGGGCATAGCTGTATGGATATTAATCTACTGGCAAGCTAGAACTCTCTGCACTCCCATGAGAGCTTGAGCACGAGTGGGCTCGGGCTGGATCGGGTTAAATACCATAAAAATCGTCCCACCTGAATTACAGTACCAGCTCAGACTTCACTCATAGATTTGAACTTGTCGTCTAATCTTACCACAGGAACCATAAGATTATCTGAGACTTTTGATGAATGAGTCCATTCTCTCGCGACTATGTTTATGTCATCATGAATACGGGTTTTAATTAAATCAGCCATTTTAAGAGAAACTTGCTGGTTTTAGAGGATAGGTATACGAAGGGTAGTTTCGTCCGCGAAATTCAATTTGGGTGTACGACTCAGGGTCAAAATACGGCTGAAATTATGACAAGCGCAGTCGGTGTCATCCTTCGAGAGGGTAATTTAGATTGAAGTGAGAATCATCAATGTTGTTTAATATTTAGCTTCATTACTTCAGTCTTCCATCCGTATAAATCAATGAATGTTGTTTCAAGATATTTTGTTAGGGCTTTTCGACCTACAACAACAAAACCTCTGTGTTTTCTGAGCACTTTGCAGAACATCCTTCTGTATCATGATTTGCCATGCCAAGGGTATTCTCAGATGTCATATATCTTTACCGCGACCATGTCTCTCCAGTGAACTTTGCTGATTAGAGGATTTTTTGGTGTTCATGGCGCGAAATGATTTTATGGGTACCTGGCATATTGGGTTTCTATCTGGCCAGGCGATATCTTGCTAATTTGATGTCTTGAAAAAAAGTAAGTGCTAGAGTCGCTGGATAATTATGTACCAAATTATACTGACCAGACTTTTTATTGTTAATTCTTTTCGTCTTTCCTCTACCTCTATCTGTCACTTTAACAAGTTCTGTTACAATTAGAAAAAGACCTGTGAGTCAAAGACTAAATATAAAACCAAAAGAGCGTAACGAAGTAAATGGTACTGCCTGAACCGCATTAGTCATTATCGTTCTATGTAGTTGGATGACTGTGATCTCTCCTCATATATGAACATTGACGGAGGAAGGTTGAGTAAATTGTGTCAGGAGGTAGAAATTACATTCATTTTTGTCAATTAAATTCATAGCATGAGTTTTCCTTCAATAAATGAGGCTATTAAGGGCATAGACAAAACACTGATAGTACATTACGAATTCATCGCTGAATCTTGGTTGTATGACTTGGAACAAAAAAAGATTAAAATTTACTATTATGTACCTACTCGAACCCCTACAAATTATTCCAGGTCATTTGAATTTGAATTTGAATTCAATTAACCCGATCAGGCACCCTACGGGTCCATGCAAGTGACTATCTGCATTATTTACAAAGGAGGAAACTAATTTGATGAAAACCCCCTGATCCTGTCTTTTTATGTTCCTATCAATTTATTTGGTTTACCTTCAGGAAGTGCAGTGTACACTGTTCAGCCCGTGTGGATTCCGTCCTCTCCCCTTCCAGATCTATTTACTTTATCCGACATTGCTACCTCGACTTCTCCTGCCAGTCGAAACTGTTTTATCCAACCTTTGTTTAGTACCCACTGTGTAATTCTGGCCATGTCTTCTGGGCTGTTCATCATTGCTTCAAATGACCTGTCTTTAGCTTGTCGGAGAAAGTCGCCTCTTTCATTTGCCCACTGCGGACACGCCAACACCATATGCTTGACGCTTTGCGACGGATATCCACATTGACAGCTTGGCTTTTCTACTCCGGGTACTTTTCTTCTGCTCAGGTAAGAATTGAGTCCGATATGCTCGCTCCTTAGCTGAATGGCGACACTGCTTTGGGCCCTGGTTAGGTTACGGTGGATTTTTAAGGGGGTATCTTTGAAGTTCATTTTGACGCTGCCTGTTTGCCTATCAGTAAATATATTTGCCGCTTTCCAATGTTCTGGATCGGCTGATGCTGGTCGGCCAGGGCGGTGTTTCCTGATCTGGCTTGTCCATGAATCCTTCCACTCCTGAAAGGCCGCTATCTTTCCAGCTTCTTTCTGCCTTCTCTTATCCTTTTCCCTTCCGCAAGTTCTTGTCCATTCGGCGATATCTTTACTCCTGGTCAATGCATGCGGAGTTTCTCTCCCGCTTGCGGGCAGCTTTATCCTCTTACATATCGATCGGATTGTCTCTTGAACTGGGAGTTTATCTGATAGTCCGGCGTGCTGGACCCTCCTTCGTTTCAGGTGTATCTCTATAGGGAGGACGGACGATTCGTGCTCTAGCACTCTGCTGCTAGTAGAATTGTAGGCACCTACAACAAGCTTTGAGCATTTTCTTTGAATACTTCTGAGGGGTTTCACTATCCTTCCAGGTATTTTTCCTGTCATTCCAGGTCATTAATAATCCTGTTAATATTTCAACTAAATCATACAATTATACTTCAAGTTATCGGTGTAGCATTGAAAGTTAATGCCTTTCTTTATCAGTGGAGAATGGTTATTCTTTATCATAAGCCTGAAACGAGGGGGGTTACAAGCAACTTAATATCTTTGACGTACGACCTTCAGGCAGGGCTTGCGCTTCAGGAAAAGAGTAATTGTCACATCAAGCTGCTTGGTTGAATGAGTGATAAAACTACTTGAGCGTTCATCACTTCCCAATGCAGCAAATTAAATGACTTAGGTTCAGAAGTTTCAATGTGTTATTTTCTTTGCAGCTAATGATATAAGTGATTAATTTGCTGTTCGTATTCACGCTCATTGTAAACATTCGACATTCCTAGTAGTCGGAATGATTCTTTTCAGGTAATGACTGTTACTAGACCTTCCGATCGCCGCAAAAGCATAATCTTCTAGCGATAAACAGACTTTGCCGCTTGTGTGTCGAACTTAACAAAGTATTGTTGGGAATGTATCATTACTCATGCATGAATCATCATCTTATCACAGGTAGTAGAGCACTCATATCATGTTTATTAGTGAGCAAGTTTATCACAGGTTATTTACTTAATCTTTACACGAATGTATTTGAAACTGGCTCGGGAATTGTTTCAGAGATACTTGCTGACTTTTTCAACCCTAAAAGGCATGATAGGGAAAGCTTGGAAATTGTTCGTATAGATTATCCTGGAAGGATTTTATGATGCCCGTTAGTTTTTCTGCTTCTTCTACACAGTCAATAGGAGTGGCATTAATAACTTCATAAGAAATCCTAAAAAAAGGGTCAATTTTATGGTATGGCTTTGGAGGACAGGAAGAAATACCCTTGCTGGTTCTGATAGTTCTTTTTCTTTGGACGCACTTTGAAGCTAAACGTTTTGCCGTCTGCGTCCGCGAAATACTTCTGCATTACTGAGATATCATATTCTCTCAATCTTACAATCTTGTTTGCATCTATACCAAGAATAAGCCGGCCAACATCATCCGAACAGCTGAGCCAAAAAAATCCCTTTGTGGAATTATGAACTTTTAGACACAAACAAAAGCGATACTCTGGACGCGAGTGACTGTAGTCACATTTCTCGCAGTACCAACTTCCGTCACCCATATCGCTGAGTTTCTTGTAGCAGCCTTCGCTTCGACAGGCTGGATACGCAGAGTTTTCCTGATTAATATGAACAATTGTAGCTTTAATGGGGCTGTGTTCACTACTCTCCTGCATACCAAAATCACTTTCACGAGCTTGTGGAATTTCTCTGGCATCGTTCCAACGACTGGACTCAAGTCCAGCACTTAATACAGGCGTGTTAAGTACAGGTTGCTCCCAGCGGGTATTTGGAGTTTGCCAAATTTTCAGCTTATGGGCTTCTGGAATATCAGGATCGACTTTGAGGGAACCGGAGGAAAGTAGACTTAAGCTTCGACCTCCATATTCACCGACTTTGCATCTTTTAAATGCCACAATTGAGTCCGGTTTCGCGCTGAACGAAAGTGCTGTACTGCCCCAAATAGTAAGACGGATTGTTTCATTACTTTCATCATAAATGCTAAGTTCCCGCTTATCACAAGGCCTTCCTGTTTTTCGGACTGTGGTCTGTGTACAATCAGGGATATCTTTCAATATTCCAATGACATCGACAAGTGAGTCTATTTCGACATACTGGAGATCAGAAATAGAGGTGAATTCGTAGCGGATCTGGGGAACAGCTTCCTGGTCTTCAGCTGTTTCCACCGTAGTATCTCGATCAAAAAAGAGCTCATAGTCGTTTGGCAGGGTGGAGTATTGTTTTTTAGCGTGTTGTATTTTGCATGGACTGGAAATATGATAGACTGCACCTTCTTGGAATGAATCATAGAACTGATCGCACTGATCATTATATCCAGTAGCCTTAATCTCACCACTTTCATCCAAAAGGTAAACGCTAAAACATTTGCCTCTGCTTTTAGATGTGTTCCAGTTTTGGCTCTCCATTTTTTTTGTGACACGGGCCTTGATTTTCCAATTATATATTTTCGGGGACAAGTCTGAGATTGGATACATGATAAGCTCGTGTGTAGAGGTGGAAGGTGTATTGCACAATGAAAGAGAGGGATCTAATTCAGGCGCTTCTATTACTTGGTCGGCGGACCCTCTATATACAAGGTTTTCTAAATTTTTGGTCAATTCTGAATTTATATATTCTTCGCCAGGCACTCGCAATCTGAGAAGATCTTCGATAGTGTAGACGTGGGCACGGAACAAAGAGCTCGAAGGAGTAGCTGGCGATGAATTACTTGGATCTTTGTTACATGATTCCAAATCTTGACTAGTGAGGAGTTCATTGGATTCACTGGCCGGGAAATCTTTGCTCCCTATCTGTTTATCATCTTCTTGCGTAGTTCCTATCTTTGTAGGCTCTTCATCGGTGTAGAAATTAGCGTAAGGTGTAGAGCTAGTGGAGGCAGTGAGTAGTTGGTGGCTAGAATCTTCCTGGAATGGCTCTTCCAATCCAGTAGTATTTTGTCCATACAATTCTTTGATTGAGTTGTTGTTATCACCTACATCGAGGGTTATTTCAAGTGGGCGTGTGATGATCTCTTGTTTATTATTTTCTTGTTCCATATTTCGTTTGTTTAAAGATTATTTAATCATGTAAAGAATTGCGTAGGGCGTGAGGCTGGAGGGGTTTATCAGTGGTGCGATACAACTAGTTAGACTCGTTCGGATGACTCTACCTGTGTGAATGCAGAATTTTCCCTGGCACATTATTTAGAATTATTGACGCTCGCAGGTATCACCGACAGTTTTAGATGTGAGAAGAATTTTTAGTCACAGAAAAAGTCATTCGGCACATAGGAATACCTCCCGCCACCGTAAATATATTTCCATGACGGAGAAAATTTTCGAGACATATGACCTCATGAATACGCAATCGCAAAAGCTAAGTAGGTAAAAATTTGTGCAAACGATACACACTACAGAGCCCAAGTTGCCATCTAATGAGGATCCCACAACGCTCACATAGAACCAGTGTGTCATAACCTACAATATAGTTTTTTCAGAAAAGGATACAGATCCCCGTGTATACTAGAAGATTCCCATTGGAATACTATTCTGTATATATTCATATTAGGCTCATTGGTATCAACCCTGCTCCGCAAAAGATAGCCTCTAATGTGGAATGAAGCCAAAGTTTGTACCCTTACACAAGATCCCTCTCCAATATGATATCAGGTTGATTGTTAAAGCGATTTGCCATCAGGGCTAGTCTTGCAATGATAGAAAAATCGCCAGGGAAAAGAAATCTACAGTTTGGATCTAGCAAGATACTGTTTCAGAGACCTGAAAATGTATTTACCAAGCTCATACGTATAGTGTTTCCTACGTACTTTGACATCTAAATGTTTTCAGGATATCCTCGGGTGGATTTCCACGCATAAAAGCTGGCTCTATTACAAACACAAAAATAACTCACAGAAAAATTTCGAAAGAAATCTGGAGAATCAGTGTGTCTAAAGGTGGAGGAGCTGTTTGGCATAAATACAAGGAACTGATGGTAAGCCATAACTATGTTGCTAGATACTCATTGAATCGCAAATTGTGAGGATACGACCCTCAACATCCATCGGAATTTTTTATCAAAATAGTAACTCATGAAATGCAGCAAAAGGCTAGTTAACAGATGCTAGCGGTCCATCGTAGTCATAGATTGAAAAGAACTATGGTGAAAAAATTGTGTCACTGAATCTGAGTAACAAAAGCTTCCACAAATTTAATAGGACCATAAAAACACTCGTTACCAGCGTCTTACCATATTTTTAAAAAAAATTTCTTATCTCTAACTGACGTCAGTGATAAAGATTACCAAAAATATTTTTACTAGTCCAAAGACTTCGTTATGAGCCATGAGGAGACTAGAACCAACATCTGATATCACTATCTCCGTTGATATCCCGGGGGACTATTCTAAACACCTGTCAGTGGCGCCCCCTACGAACCTCCAGCTCTCACTGTAGAGTCTGCAGAGCCGAGATTGAATAACAAAGTCCTCACTTCGACGAGGATTCCCAATCACTTCCGCAACCGGTATTGTCTTCGTCTCTCAACACAAACCCCCATCACCACTACCATTAAGCTAGTCACGATCAGATCAGATGGTAGGGTCGGAGCCCTTCTCATCACCAAATCTTGATCATGGAGGAAAAGCCAACCGATGAGTTTCCGGAGCGTACCCAGAACCCGATACGGCGATGGCGGATTGGATCAAGTCGGCCTCGATTGTTACAAAGAAGGGAGACATAGATGAATATGCGCACCTCATGTGGTCCCGGTGTCTAGGCCTCGCCTGGCTTGGGCTGCCGGTTTTTTGAGGCTTTTTCCCGCGCACGCAGTTGCTATTGCTACCTTTTTTTTTGGGTAGAAGGTTCCGTGGAAAAGGTGGCTGAATTCCACGGGTAAGTACTGAGCTGAATGGCTATATATCAAGGGCAATATATCAATGATCTTTCAAGTAACAAAAGAGGATAGGAGCACTGTACAAGGTGTGGCCTGGGTCAAAGAGGAGCCCAATTTGCTAGACAGTCATAGACTCAAGTAGTACAATAAAAACACACACTAAGCTAGTCAGGTCACATGACCTTGCTAGCAGTACATAGATTTCATACGTAGCAGGAGGTTTTTCTAGACAACAGTCACACCGTGTCCCACGTATCTTTCTTAAGATGAACATATCTAGTTGTAAAATTATCTACGCTGAGGACAAAGACTGAACACCTATAAGTGGTATCCGCTACAAACATGGGAGTGAAATAGTCTCTCGGAGCCGATATCGAGTCACGACAAAGAGTGTGCTAGGAAGTTTTCGACGAGATGGCGATGGGGAGGTGTGGTGTTGGCAAGTTTTTGGTCGCAAATGCGACCTACAGAGATTTCACGACCGCACAACTACACGAATACCAATATTTAACCCCGACAAACCAATCGCAAAAAAGATAAAACCTGTCTAATGTTCGTGTTGCAACAACCGACACCTTCAAGATCTATTTTTTTTCTCTGGAAAGTCACTCCCAGCCAAACTCATCTCGCGGCCCTCTCCATGTTATGATCTAGGAGTAGCTTAGCTTCGATTGATGGGGAAGAGTCTGTTAAGGATAGGCAAGGGTCATGGGCTCCAACTTGTTGTCGTCTGTCGCACATGTAGGAAAGATACATCCATCCCTTTCCTACACAATATTCTTCCATATCCATACCGTAGAGAGTAGTTTTATCCAAGTATTTCACCATCTATCATTCACATACTTAGATAATACATAGAATTCTCGGTATGCATATAAGTATCAGAGTCAGTAATAGTACCCTAGGTAACCTCATATTATATTACTCCGGGTTCATCTTGCCCCCTACCCAAGCACACTAGAATCCGAAAATCCTAAGGTGATACTCGCCATCTAAGTTGCAAGTAGATACTCAGCCCACCGCAACTGTCGAGCAGTGGGAAGGCGGGGTCAAAGTACCCGCGTCATATATGTCTATACCTCGACTAAGGGCACCAACAACTCAAGCTGCGACGAAGAGCCACCAATGAAATATGCACGAAATTTCGCCGCCACGCCAACTAGAGTATTTGATAAAGGCTGAGGCCAAGGTGCTTCGAACTTGAGCCTTCAGACCAATGTTTGGCCTCCACGGCTAGGGGTGCGGCGGTGGCGACGTGGCTAGGCCAGAGGAATGGAAAGACTTCAAAGTTTCTGTGGTGAAGATAATGAGAAGATAGTTACGGAAAGCTAGAATGGAGGACTTCAAGATAGGGAAGCGGAGGCGTCGGTGGGTGAAGGGACGAGGTCTGGACGGAGGAAAACAACGCGAGTATGAGATGAGACGTTGGGACGAGGCATGACTAGGTATGAGCGGAACGGACAAATTTCAGAGAGACTTTTTATGGCTCGCGCGCGTGGTGGCCGACTACCAAGGACGAGGGTTTCACGGTATTCCACGGGGTGCGTTGTATAGCCTAGTGAAGATGTAGGTGGGAAGTGAAGATAATAAATGGGTTAAAGGGGTGAGAGGTCTTCGCTTCGAAGAGACGAATAGGCAACTGGTTGCAGTAGATGTTACACGTGGGTCTTGCTGATGAAGAACTGGAAGATGGATAGATGATCTTCCCGAAGAAGAGTTTGGTAAACAAATGAGTTGTAGAGGATAGGCAAAGAAGACGCTGCGTGAGGAGTAAATCTCTCACACGCTGAACTATTATATACAAGAGTAGAAGCATTTGTACACCGGTATTAATTGTAATCAATTCTTGCCAATATCTTCGCATTGATGGCTGTGTTCTTGTCCTTCTCTTCATGACTCTCTTGTATATCCTTGCTCGACTTTTTACATGACTAATTATATAAGGAGAAGCTATTCTTAATTTAATGATTTTAATTAACTACCCCTTCATCTTATCACGAATTAATATTATAATTAAAATTCTAATTACGGATCCGTGAAAAACCTCCCCCCTTAAAGCTTTCGACACCCCTTTTCTCATTATTGTCACCTTAGCAACTTTGTAGACTTTCTATCCTTCTGCCTTGAAACGTCGCCGCCGCACCCCTTACCGAGGAGGCCGCATACGGATCGGAGAGCTCAAGATCGAGGCTCCGATAGACGAATGGCTGAGTATTTCGCTAAGCCCTGATTATATGCGAGGCTGAGTGCCTGTGCGTGGTGTCCACTACAAACCTGGGAGTGGAATATTCTCCCAGAACCACATTCGGCCAAGTTTCGCAATGCCGAACAAGTTGGCCCACGAGGCAATGATTCAAAATACTCTACCATACCAGTTTTTCACTCCCAACCAGTTCGACTCCCACCTAAGTCTCATCAGGTCTACAAGTACGACCAAGTACATATTCATTTCAATGACCGTACCTCTCACCGACTATTCTCACACCTCTGTCGATCAGTAAATATTTCCCCACGACAGTACGAATACTATTAAGAGGACAAAGAATCGTGCCACACAAATTTGGGAGGAAGTTGCTTGAGATGGACGTGAGGGGGACCAGGACAATTTTACAAGACAAAACAAATAAAGGATTCAGTCTTGATGAGTGTAGGATTTCAAACTTTGGTACTAAGATTTTCAAGTTGAAGAGCATTGTGATTACCAAGTCTTTGAGTACGAGAGTGCAGCTCAAACTATGAACACAAGCTGACGGTGGATGGTGCCGTGGTGTCAAGGTGTCGAGAGATTAAGATGCGAATGATTTCAATATTATTGAAAGAGTTCCGGAGAAAATGAGGGCAGAATCAGCCTGATTCATGAAACCCAAATTACCCGTTAAATATTCTTCTCTATTGTTCTCGAACTTTCCAGTTTACCCTCACAAATAGTAGAATAGAGTAGAATTAAATAGTATAGACAAGGACAGATCAGATCAGAACGAAATAGAATAGAACAGATTAGGATAGAATAGAGCAGAAGTCTTCGGACATAGTTCCTATTGATTCAGAACAGGCCCTTGAACCGGGAAACGTGGTCCACCTCTTGGTCGTTGTATCCGGTATAGTTTCAGTAGCCTGGGCACATGCTCCACTTGGGAAGGAGACACCTCAGATAACATTTCGCGCGAAGAAAAGTCAATTGATGTTATAGGCATGCCTGGATAATTCAGAGTTTTTGTGACGGTTCCTTAGGTGAGTAGTATTCACAGAGTCGGGCTGACTTTGGGTGGAAAAAGCCATCACAACTTTGCAGTGGTACTTGCAAATAAAATCTGAGGCTTGAGTGCTCTACTCGCAACTGGGTCATCGATTTTGTCCTTTTTCTCGGATTTTATGTTATAGCTAGGTAGCTGCCTTCGTAATTCGATCTGATGTAGACAAAGAATTCGTAACATTTGAAATTTTTTTATTTTTTATTACATTTGGTCCTAAGCTAACGCTATCTTTTCCACATATCTTCAGCCCCTCACTAGCGTCGAGGAAGCTTTTCGCTTAGCAATAAGTATTGTATAATAATCATACCTCAATACCATAAACAGATTAGCTAGAATCTTCTCCAAGCCTGTAGAAGTATCATATCCCAAAACTACTCCATTTAGACTTGAATTCGGCCAGCTTCCGGCATATTCTAGTAATTTGTATACGACAGGTGAAGACACTTGTAAATATGTAAGATGCTCACTTATAGAGCGCGGTTTTGTGCAAAACATCTTTCATTTCTCGTTAATAAACTACAATTCTTCATCGCCTCAAAATGCTATCACCTCTTCGACCTGGACGCATATCCAAGATCTTTTGGCCCAAGATCTCAAGGGCCACACCAGCTATGCGCAAGATGTCTTTCTTGCCACGATCATTCATAACCAGCGATCACTCCACACTTCCTCCCATCTTTCGACTCTTGGATGAGGTAGATCAGTACTCACGGACAATTGATCGGTCTCTGCAGTCCCAGCTCCAAACATTTACACCCAAATTCGATGTGAAGGAGCTCGCTGAAGCGTTTGAACTACATGGTGAGCTCCCCGGAATTGATCAAAAAGATGTCGACATCGAATTCACGGATACTTCTACGCTCACCATCAGAGGTCGTTCTGAAAGCAATCTGAAGAAAGATGTGTCAACAACAGCAAACGTAGAAGATATACCACCTGACAACAAGATCTCAAGCTCCGAAACCCGATCTCAAAATAAGACTTTCCAAGCTACGGTTGAGGATGCGGAAGGAAACCAGAAAGATATAGCAACAGTTGAGAAGTCTGAAGGCATGAACAAGCATCCGAACGAGAAATTCTGGATAATGGAACGAAGTGTGGGAGAATTTTCGAGGTCATTTTCATTCCCGGTGCGAGTTGACCAGGATAACGTAAAGGCCAGCATGAAGAATGGCGTTCTGAGTGTCGTAATACCGAAGCTGAAAAAGCATGAAAGTCGCAAAATTTACATTGAGTAGACTCACGTCCGGGAAGAGACTTTGGCCAATAAATATTTTGGGATTAAAAAACATGATGATGCGATGATGCAATGATGTAATGATACTTAATTGGACGTAAAATAGCCTTAGAATACCGGTGTAGGACTATTAGTTGCACTATAGATTAATAAAGTAAAAGCATTGAATCAACATTTTAGTGTCAGGATTATTGCGGCAAGGACTGGGCATGGTGATTTCGCTAGCTATCACAGACGATTTCAACATCCGAATGAAGAGATGCGATGCAAATGCGGACGAGAGAAACGGCCATGGCATTTTGCAGAGTGTCGCCCGACCATTCAGAAATGGAGGACGGAAACGAAGGAACCAAGACCTACGACAAGGGATATGATAGGGTAAGAAGGATGGCAGATATTCTGGCGCTTTCTAACTGTAACAAAATGTTACAGCAAAATTGAATCATAAACAGGGAACTTGAATGTCAGCTGTATTGCTTCTTAGGGCCGCTCGGTGTGGCACGAGGATGGAGGTGTAGTGCAGGGCGCTAGCACCTCAGAAATGGTGTTTTTTCTTTTTATTTGTTTTGTTTCTGTATTTCTGGCTCCTATGAACCAATCATGTAGGTAGCGAAGAGTCTTATATAGATCTGGACTACCCGTGCCATGCCCCCTGGGTGCTGGGTCAGTACCCGGTCACGATAAAAATATCATTATCATTAGTGTCAGGATTAAAATTTGATGCCTTGAATTGTGAAAACGATTTGTGCAACCCAAACAAAGCTCGTCCGTAAGTCTGTATGTAGCAGGCTACACACGCGGAGGTTTTAAAATCAATTTATCCCGACTTTTGCCTCGAACTTAAAGATATACAGATAAATTCTTGCCACATGCCTAATGTAGTTCCTATTTACCGGTCCATGTAAGCGTATGGCAACTAATAGGGAAAAGGCCCTGACGACCAAACTCTTTTTTCCCGCTGGCAATGTACATCCCGGATTCATGCCGATGATATCTATCTTTTTATCAGCACTCACGTTCTCTCCGTGAATTCCATTACCTCTTTAATTGAGGAGTAGTCTAGACCACCTTCGGAGGTCTATTATGATCTGAGTTACATCTGTCGAGCTGGTCTGCTGTATTGGATTGAGCCAGACATTCGCAGGAGAGTACCATGCGAGCAGCAGCCCGACATCCTCTTCAGGTTTGCAGCCCGCGCTCATAGCTCTTTGTTCGTGGATGTATGAGCATATTTGAGCGAATGACTTTGCAATAAGGACAGTAGAATAGAATATGTTTAGTCGTCTGTGCGCCTCCTCTGCATGAGCATTACTGATTAGTGTGTGTTTTTGTTGTACTTCTTAAGTCATTGAGTTTCTAGCATGTTGGGCTCATTTCTGGCCCAGGCCACATCTTTACAGTGCTCCTGTCGTGCTTTGTTACTATTAAAGTTAGCTCCGGAGATTGGGAGAATTACACACTAGCCTAGAGTTTGATTCAGACATATGATAAATATGTTTACTATACGAAGAAGTTTACTCGTGTTTAATGGATAGTTAATTATGACTAAATTGCTTTGATTCTACATGTGTGACAAGAAGTACCTCTATATACATAGACGCGGGATTTTCCACACACTAGTGTGAACTCCAACAAACTTTCTAATGTAACCTAAATGGGAAGGTTGTTGGAGATCCTGAAGCCAATGTAAGACGTCAGGCATCTATTAGCTAATTACTATTCATGCCAGTGAGTGATGATATGGGTTAATCATATCTCATGGCGCCAGTGCATATTATTCTAATGTGTACTATTTGTCTACTGCAGTCATGTTGCTGCCTTAATTACAACAGTTACTTCAATGATCATTGATATATTGCCCGTGATGAATAGCCATTGAGCTTAGTGTTTACCCGTGGAATTCGGCCACCTTTTCCACGGAACCTTCTACCGAAAAAAAATGGTAGCAATGGAAACTACGTGCGCGGGAAAAAGTCTCAAAAAGCCTGCAGCCCAAGCCAGGCGAGGCCTAGACACCGGGACCACATGAGGTGCGCATATTCATCTATGTCTCCCTTCTTTGTAACAATCGAGGCCGACTTGATCCAATCCGCCATCGCCGTATCGGGTGCTGGGTACGCTCCGGAAACTCATGGGATGACTTTTCCTCCATGATCAAGGGTTGGGGATGAGTAGGGCTTCGACCTCAACATATGATCTGATCGTGGTTAGCTTGATCATAATGGTGATAGGTAGATGTGTCGAGAGATGAAGACGATACAGACGGCGAAAGCGATTGGGAATCCTCATCGAAGTGAGGACTTAGTTACTCAAACTCGGCTTTGCAAATGTGAAGGGACTTCACATTAGTTGTTCACAATTATGGGTCCAAAAATGAATTTATATTTTATCTAGTGAGAATATTTACGATGCGCGCGCAAGATGTTTTGTTCCAATCGAGCGCGTTTTCCCGTGACACTAGCGCGATTTTGTTCATAGACGGAGCCGGATAGTTCCGGATCCTCATACATGGCTAGAGCCTGTAACAGCAAACTCTTCAATGAGAGTCGGTGGTTTGTAGGGGACACTACTGACAGGTGCTGAGAATAGTCCTCTCATTTTACTCGTTCATGAGCGGCTCATCGAGGCATAGCTTGTTTACGCTGGATCAACCATAAATGATTGAAGGGCAAGACCGAACAACTGTGCGCGGTGTCCTTTACGAACCTGGGAGTGAGATATTCTCCCAGAGCCAAGTTCAGTAAATTTTCGCAATATTAAAGAAGTTAGCCCACGAGGCAATGATCCAAATTACTCTACAATGTCCATCTTTCACTCCCAACGAAATCGATTCCTACCTAATCTCATCTAGCTTACTGCGGCCGAGTGTCCGAGTGCCGCGATGGTGGGAGCCCGATGAGGCTCGATCGGAGCTGACCCGAGGTATTCACAACACCGTGGTCCGCCTTCTGGTGGTGTTCTCTGTTATGCTCAGCTATGTAGTATGGTAGATCTAGTAGCTGGTGCATAGGTAGTTATTATGGCAGCATGGCATTATGGCGCATGGAGGAGATCCGGTCTCTACATAACGACATTACAAGAAGTAATGTGTGCAGTACGAGAGTTGGGTTATTGATGTAGGACAAGTGGCATGGCTGCTCATTTGGGAGCACACTTTGGTGAGCTGCATACTGGTAACGTGATCCATCTACAAGCGAACAAGATAGGGGATTAGGGACGAGCTTCCCCCAAACTGTAACATAATGATTATCATCGTAGCTTCACTTCTGCGTATTAATGATGATATCTCTCCATAAGCTGTCCCGGTAGGGGGGTTGGATGGTGCAGTGGTACACCAACCGGGCCGTTCTCCCAAGCAGATGCTGGGTAGCTTGAACACCTACCCCATTCGTGGCAGGAGAAGGCTAGATACTAGTCAGACGCACAAACCATTCTCTCTCGCGGTGACAATATACTTATGGAATGATGAATGCACACCTGAAAAGCCACAGATTTTCACGCTTTTCCCTATGGTGGGTGTGCACGGAAAAGGTTATATGCCGTAAGGGTTAACTTCGAGTGGTATGTGCAAATGAAATCTGAGAGTGAGTGTTCAAATCGTCAAATTGAGTCATCCTACTTAAAGTACATGTCTTCCGATAAAAAACCTGCGTGGACCTCAAGGCACCAAATCAGGTAAAACAAACTGTGTATATAACTATCCTGTGCCTCCCAGCGCAAATGAATATTACCAAATCCTATACCAATATTAATACTGCTCGGAAAAAGCCTCCTATCGCCATGTGGGGAATGATGAAAATCGAACCGAGAGCTCTCGTTCAAATAACGGGTCTTGCTTAGCCTACAAGATGCGTGGAGATGGGTAAGGCCACAAGTAAATGGAAGATAAAAGCCCTTCACAATGTCTCTGCGCCCGATACTGACATGATAAGGTCAGTCGAAATATTGAGGAAGTTCCTCTACCAACCTCTTCATTAGGTTGGAGAGTCGTCAAAATCTCCTCCGACCGAGTCAAAAGTGATAAAGAACGATGCTCTCAAAGGGATACCAAAATCAACGTTGCAGTCAAAAGCTGCTACAAAAGAAGAATGTCCGCCCGAGCTTCGACCGATTCTCGGGTCCGAAGAGGGACGGGTCGCCCAAACAGCGGTCAATCTAGCAGTCTGCTCCGCCGCTATCTCTGGCGTCGAAGCAATACTCCTTCCTTTGACCAACGGTTCCAATCGACAGTTCCTAGACTCGATGAGAATCTACCTATGCTCTTCCATTGCGCAATACATGAACACGGGCCCGGCCTCTACGCCACTCGTTCTTCATCCTCGCCCGGCGAATCCCCCTCTAAGAGCTCCCGAGCCAGGAGCAAAATTACACCCATCGTCCTAGCACAGCCCTCAAAAGGCACATGGGCCACGGTGGTCAAAAACGGGCTGGGATAAAGAACAGCCTCCTCAGTGAAAACTGTGCCGCAACTTACAGCTAAGGCCCCAAAGAAAGACGCTCCGAAGACGAAAGTCGACAGACTTTTCGTCCGAATCGTTAGTAACCACTCGTGGCGTAAGCTCTCACCTGTATGCTCCCGGAGAGAAGTAGAGGATGAGCAGGGGGAATTCATGGAAGACACTAGCTCCTTCAAACGAGTCACAACTGGCTTTGCGATTCTAGAAAAGAATGAAATTATAAGGCAAAGGCTTCTATATGCGGCTCCGAAACTAGTGGATGTTAACGCCAAACTCGAAGAAGCTTCCAACCTTGTCGTCTTTCAAATCGTGAATATACGCACGATTATCAATAGACTCAACGGTATTAGAGCGCTCGATGTTTAATGGATCTCTGCCGAAACCAACTCTGAAGCTTACATGAAGCCAATCTAGGCGCGCCGTACAAAAACTGGTATGCCATTTTTGCCCGAATTCCGCCTCTCGTGTGGGCTTCCGCATCTTCGACGAGTCTAGAACGGCTCTAAAGTACCGGCCTCGACGAAATATTCAGCAGTGGTATCGCTACTTTGGCTTTCACGCCACTCGTGGTTGCTCCCGCACCCTTGCGTGCATAAATTGCGGACCATCGATGCACTCTGAAGCAGCTTGCAAGGCCTCCACCAGATGTCGAAACTATGGGAGACCTCACCGATCGGACTTACGGGACTGCCAAGCCAGACCCAGCAAGTTTGGCCTGATGTAGAAAGAGCAGTTGGAAGATATTCGCCTATCCAAGCACTGTGAGTTTGCACAAGTAGCCCGTGCAAAAACTGCAGCCAAAAGGACATCTCCATGGCGGAGGCATCGAGCTTTGAAGTTGTGGAGTCCGATGATGAAGTTTTAGGGCACAGCGACCTTGATAACGCTCCTTTCAGGCGTCTACTAAGCAAAAGCAGGGTACTAGCTGTATCAATGGTACCTGCTATCTATCTCTTGTTCTCAGCGAAGATTGGAAAAGTTGCCATTGGGAAGGTGTGACGTACGAGGAAAGGTGTGAGGAGCGCATTGCTTGGACTCAACATGGGGGAATCTTCTGGTTTTATCCTTAGGATGTTTTTGATTTCTTGTCTTTTCGTTTTGCTATAATCTGCTGCTATTTTGGCAGCGAATCACGCGGTTGGAATAAGTGGGCTGTGGAAAACAACCCAGGGATCCCTGCCGGCTCCACCGGTCCTGTAACCCTAGTAGGACGTAGAGCTTTTACTTTAGCTTGGGACTCTAAAAAATTCAACGACACGACGGAAACTTGGAGAGCACCTAAGTTCTACAATGCCGAAACTCTATAGAATATACAATAAGCCTTCAGGAATCTCCATTTTCCCTCCACAAAATCTGACAAGGGCCCAAAGTAGCCTAGCAATCCAAATTCGAAGCGAGCACATCAGGCTGTTGCGCTACGGTCATTCTAGGTTTAGCCGAATTTACTCAGAACGTGACTCTGGTCGGAGAAGTTAATACTGATACATGATGTGCATCAAGGAAAATATCTTTTTGTTCGGATTTTACATAACTCATACTTTGAATTTGTTTTACATTTAGCTTTCCGATGATATACTAATCTTATATGCCCTGAGCATGTTTTTGTATGTTTCGGTGGTAGCATTATTGCCAGCGAGTTATCTAGTAGAGTTTCATATGAGGGAAACAGTGTATTTTAGATACTCGATAGCTAGAGAATAGAGAAGCGACCCTTCGATGATTTGTTACCCTCTACTCCCATTTCCAAAATAGTCCAACACAGGCTAAATTCGTATTTACAGATGAGGAAAGTACCAGAAGTGTGCCATCTATGCTGTCCACGTGGCTATCGATCACAAAATCTCAAGCACGTGATCATGTCCTACCCCAGGTGATCAATTTGTAAAGGAGAGATCTGAAGAAGCCCGAATGCGCTCCTTTGAAGTAATAAACAACAATCCTGGCGATATGAAAAGAATCACACGATGGATTCTTAATCATGGTTGGATAATATAATTCCGCATGACCAATAAAGTCGAACTGCTGCTGAGGGAACGAGATGGAACATGTACAAGGATGGAGTCGACAGAAGGGACGTGATTGGTACACATCGACGGCGTTACAGTGTAACTGTGCTTCCTAAAGGATAAATTGAAAACTCTAAGAATTAAATCAGAAAGCTTGGGGGTTTTCACTGAGAGGTTCCTCCTATGTAAATATATAGATAGGTTTATAGCCGCCTGCATGGGCCTACAGGGCGCCAAATCAGGATAATGAATACAAATCAAATCAAAACAAGGTAATGAGCCAAGTCAGATCTCTGTCAGAGCCCTAACAACATCCTGAACACCGCAATTACATATAATAATTTATAACACTCGAATATGATCCTTTTACCGACAGCCTTTATCTCTTCGATAGCAATAACAGGCAAGCTTTCTGCTTCAAAATGGCGCACTCGTTTTGAGATGCCGTGATACGTTTTGAACTTTTGTGGCCAGGCACCGGAAAATTCGGGTATGGGCTGGTTTTGGTACTTTAGATGAATGAATGAAGGTTTATTCGTGATGGGCACAAGCCCTGCACTCAAAGAGCATGACACGGAGAAGGCGAGTCCTCCCCCGACGGCTATATACGACGATAACTCAGTTTGACATTTGAACTACTCATGTAGTAGGTGCATTCGCTGATACAACTCGAGACCTTGGTGCTAGGGACTTTCACCCTTCCCTCAACCGTTAATATCCACCAAAGGGAAAACAGGAAAGAGCTTTGGCTGCCCTAACATGCCTTTGCCATCTTGTATATAGGCGCCGCGCGAGATATGGCCTCCCAGTCCTCCCTTTCTCGAGTGAGCCAGGTGTCCAGGCTACCCAGACTTTAATTCGGGGGAGATGACGACCAGGAGCTGGACCAAAACACCTTTTATCGTTGGCTCTGCACCCACACATATCCTAAAGTCGAAAATACTCGAAAAATGTGCGTCCCAGCATGCCAATTTATGACCTCTTCCCTCGTTCGTCCCACGTCCCAGCTGCCTGTCCTCCCTCAAGATGTGAAGCCCCATTAGAGCAACGGTCCCCCCAAGTCCCGAGCTTTTTAGATTATGACTTGAATTCCTTCTCGCGGGTATACATAGCGTCGTAAATGTGTAGTGGGAGATGGCCGGTTTTTGATGAGGCAAATGCCCGATTGCAATTGGAGTAACGCCATTATCGGTATCTGAGGCGAGGTGGTATAGTGAGATTGAGGTGGAGGACTCGCGTGAGAATGATAGATCCGACATTCACGAGAAGTCGTCGATTTTAGTTGTGCCTGTGAGTGCCTTCGACTTCGATTCGGATGTGATTCTTCTTGGCTATCCCAGATATGTATGGCATACTGAGCGATTACACATGCACCACTGGAAGCTGAAAAATTCATCGTTGCCGACGCTGGGAATAAGTAAATGCCTTAGATTTAAATGTCAGTTGTTCTTTGGCAGGAATTATGAAAGACAAGAATTAATTGATACCAATCTTATCACAACAAGCGAGTCAAGAACCCCGTCCACTTGAAGTGTTCCGGGAGTTAAATATCGCAAAATTAAACTACATTTCTCGCGGTGCAAGCTTACATGGATGACGAAGGCATGCTTGGATAACCAAAGGTTTTGAAACGTTCCTTTGGTGGGTACTCTCGGAGGAGGTTCGACTGCTTGTGTAAGCGAACATACCTCATAGTGGTATTTGCAAGTAAATCTGAGTGTGAGTGTTCAAAACTTCAAACAGAGTCATCCTACTTAAAGTACATATCTTTCAATAAAATCTGCATGGGCCTCAAGGCGCCAAATCAGGATAATGATTTATTTATTTATACTCTGAGTAAAACTGAACTGGAGCTTCCCAACTAATACGACAACTCAATGTTACATGAGATAAACCCTGAACTCAACCTCTGTGGTTAGCAACCCATTACTTGGCCTACAAACACATATGCTATACGCTAATGCTAGTATTTGGCAGGGGATGATATTGATCTAGATGTATTCCCTGACAATTATCTTCGGGTCCTCTAAGTTCTTCTATCCAACCATAATACTGACAAGACTTTGATTTAACATGTATAACCCCCTTATCTTCATGAAACAATAGAGTTGGCCCGTCAGTTTAGGTGATTCCGTCCCATTTAAATGCCTCGTGGTACCCGTGGCTCGGGATGGTTGTAATTTTTGGTGATTTAATTTTGGCGACCTTACCAATAAGCGACGCTGGAAAATTATTTTGGATAATAAATCAGAATCATGATCAGAAAAGTATCCATGAAAACTACAAGAATCTGGAAACAAAAAAGGATATGTCGGTAAATGGATCATATTTGGGCAGTATGAATTGTTCTATCTAATTGCGGTATTCAGGTTGTCGTTAGGACACTGACAGGGATCTGATTTAGCTCATTAGCGAGGCGCTTGGAGTAGAGGAAGAAAGGGGAGATGGAGAAGGGAAAGAGAGACAACGTTTGATGTATATCGAGATACCAGTTAATTGACATTATTCACAGACTTCGTGACAGACAGCTGACTTCGTGACGGCACCCAATTTGTATTACTTCGTGTTTTACCGACAGGATACTTTGTCTGCATCTCAGCAGAGAATGTACTGTGATCAGGTTTATGACAATGTTCCAAGGAGCATTGGTGACTATTTATGTGTGTTTCTTCCCATTCGGACGATTGTCTACCAATATCCGCTTTCTGAGCACGATCTATTGCTCTCCAAGGCCAAGTTAAGTCAGGAAGTACTCCCAAAATGTGCTCCGTAATCAATGATCCGTTCCTCACCTCCGATCCTACAAGCGTCACTGGAGACCACTGATTTGTTTCCATATTCTGCTTGAATAGATGCAGATGTCCCTGATACCAAGCCAGCGCATTCTGTTCAAGCCCCGTGCTACTTCTCGCGAATATCTCTCCGTTTAGGACCAGTGATTTCATGTCCATAGGTTGGTCATGGGTAACCACAATTGTCTGATCAGCAATTCGTGGTACAAACGCTTTGTATGGTCCATCTACGGCAATAATACCCTTGAATGCTAGGTTCATAATTATCCGACTAGTGCATCTTTTCCTCACTTTTTTCTCGCATTTCGATATGTCTATCACGTTTTGCTCCAGTTTTGGGTTGGATATAGAAGCGAGGGATTTGAGGCAACTTCTTTCCATCTTCGGATCATGGGTAAGGTTAACGTGGGCCCGATGGGTAATATCCGTAAGTCCTTTGGTGATTATACCAGCTATCTCGCTCGAGTCAAAATGATCTGAGCAATAAGGCATGTAGTAGGTCCCTTTCTCTGTGATTTCTGTCCTAGATAACATAAATTCATCTATGGACTTCGGGTGCGGGAAGTGATCGCGGGATTTAACTTCATAAACACCATAGGATGGCTTGTCCACCTCATCGGTCGTGACAACCAAGCGATCCAGGCGGTTCCATCTCCTTCCCGAGATCAGTAGGAATGCGACGGCGCATCTAATCATGCCTGTCAAATGAGATGTTCAGTTCCTTATTCAAGATTGCTCTTCAAAACTCAGGTTTGATAATATTTTCTTTTGCAGCCCTTTTGTCGTAAATACTCAAAGTTGTTCTGGGGACCCTACATCGAGATAAATTTGAAGTAACTCAAATTCGTGAACTGTAGGAAACGTTTGCCGAGGCACAGAGTTCCCAATTGCTTTTCTTTTTCGGTGATGATGCGATTTGGTACCTAAAAGTTCACAAGGGTTTGCACAGGATAGATTTGGTGTTGTTTCTGGGCCCGATATTTCAGTCATGTCATTTCGAGACTCGACGTAATTTGAAGGATTAGGGCTCATTTCAGCCAAATTGTGGAAAATGAGCAGTGGCATTTCTAATTTCTCGAGTCATCACAAGGACATGATGGCAAAATAGGTTTGTCTTGCTTGTCACTCTTAGTTATTATGCTGACGTACTAGGCAGTTGGAGGGCAAGAGTGAACACCTGTACGCGGTGTCCTCTACAAACCTGGGAGTGGAATATTCTCCCAAAGCCAAGTTCAGTCAAGTTTCGCAATACTGGACCAGTTAGCCCACGAGGCAATTATTTAAGATGTTCTGTCATGTCAAATTTTCCCTCCCAATAAGATCGACTCCTACCTGAGTCTCATCAAGTCTACAAGTATGACCTTGTACATCCTCATCCCTATGACCACACCTCTCTCCGGCCTTCCCTGGCCTCAGTTGACCCTCAAATACACGCCCGCGCCTATATTTACATCCGCAGGAGGAAGCAAAGCGTGGCGTACAATTCTGGGAGACAGTTCTTTGGGATGGATGTGAGAGGAATCAGGACAAGTTGACAAATTGACACAGTGGATAGATACAGTCTCGACGGGCGTGACATTCCGAATTTTGGCAAGGAGTTTTACGAATTGGGCTTCTCTTGCGAGGGTGCAGCTGACACTGCAAGCGCAAGCAAACGACAGAAGGTGTTGCGGTCCGCCTCCTGTTGGTGTTTTCTGGTATAGTCTGAGTAGCCTGGGCGCCAACTTCACTTCAGAGGAAGACGCCTCAGATCACATTTCGCGCATAGAAAAGTAAATGGACGATGGAGGCATTCCTAGATAACTCAAGGTTTTTGGGACGTCCCCTTGGTGGGTATTCACAGATGAGGGTTGACTTGGGGTGAAGAAAAAGCCACCATAACTTCGCAGTGGTACTTGCAAATGAAATTCGAGGCATGAGCGCTCTTCTTTTAAATTGAGTCATATTATATACTTCTCTGATATTGTGTCATAGCTAGATAGCTGCGTACGCAATTAAAATCTGATGCAAAAAAAACACAAATGAACCCCCCCGCAAGACTCACCAAACCTCGAAGAGCGCGATAACAACAGAGGCTCTCAGGGTGACCAAAATACTCGCGCCACCTGATTTCGAGCTCCCAGCAAAGCCTCAAGCGGACAGGAATTCATGGGTAACGGTAGCTCGTAAAACGGCAAAGCTCATAGATCCTCCAGCAGCTCCGCTCCATCGAAATACTGTCTTGTCGGCAAATACGACGACTCCAATGCTCCCAAAAGAAGATGAACGACTTTTTCTTCGACTGGGTCTAGACCACGAATAGCGGAGACTATCTCCAGTCACTATAAAAAAGTTAATCATGGAGCGAGCTGGAGTAGCTGTTGTAATGGAAGTTGTATAGAGAAGCGTAAGCTGTTAGCCTTGTATTTAATATCACCTAGTGAAGCGAGTCGGGAGATTGAATAGTCTGAAAACTATGGTGGAGAGTTTTTGATTAAACCCACTTAGTATAAGAGCGCTATTTAAACTAATTACTACATCTAAGTGAAGGACACAATTCACTTGTTTATGCTAAATAATTGGGAGGCTGGTCAATGTATGAGTTGCCATGAATGTGGCTAGTAATAATAGAACCTTATTATGTTCCGTATTGATGCGCCTCTTCATTGCTAAGTAGCGCGAATTTCAACGCCCCTTCTCACTACGTACCGAAGATGCTGGTGCACAAGTGCATAAGTCTTGGTTTAGGTAGACCTTTTGTACAGATGTCCGCAAGATTTTGAGCTGACAGAATGTGTAGTAAGGTGAGCGTTCTATCATCAACCCGCTCTCTAGTGAAATGATAAGCGATGTCAATATGCTTTGTTGCATCATTGAGCTTCGGGTTATGTGCTAGATTAATAGCGGAATTGTTATTGGTTGACAGAGAAGTAGGTATATTTTTATCCAATATTTGGTTAAGTCCTCTTACAATCCAAAGGAATTGTTTTGTTGCAACCAACAGTGCCATATACTCAGCTTCACAAGTGGAGTGAGCAACGGTCCGTTGTTTGCGAGACTTCCAGCAGATTGTGGATTGACCAAGTTGGAATAAATAACCAGAGAAACTTCTGCGTGTATCGAGACAATTTCCGTATGATGCGTCACAGTATCCATTGAGAACCAGGGGAGATTCAAATTTGTATAACAAACCAAGATCTTTTGTCCCCTTGATATATCCTAATACTCACTTGGCAGCACTTAGGTGATTGATTGGTGGATCTGAGTTAAATTGAGAGAGGCGAGAGACTGTATATGCAAGATCAGGTCTAGTAGCAGATATGATATACATAATAAATCCTATTATTTGTAGATACAGAGTAGTGTTGGCCCTAGGCTCTCCATTTTGCGTCGCCTTTAGTGGTTGGTTACACTCTATAGGCGTTGAGACTGTATTGCAATCTTGCATCGAAAACCTTTCGAGGATTCTTTTTATGTAAGCAGACTGCAATAGAGTGATTCCTACATCAGAGTACTCAATCTGAATTCCAAGTAGCCAGTGAAGAGTTCCCATATCCTTGACCTTGAATTCGGCCTTGAAGTGGTTTACTAAATCTTCGATGAGCTCCTCTTGTTTTCCAATTAGTACTGTGTTGTCCACATAAACTGCAATGATCATTTTACCTGTGTTGTGGATAAATACACAGGGATCAAATAGGGATGGATCAAGACCATAAGGTATGATATATTCAGCCAACCCAAAGAACTGTCTACCAGATTTGTGCGCCACACTTTGTGTCCTATGTCGGGTATAAATATCGGCGTGGACACGTATCTGGCGACCAGCTGAGGCCAGAGAAAGTCGACAAGAGGCTTGATCATTGGAATGAGGATGTACTAGGTCGTAGTTGTAGACTTGATGAGGCTTAGATAGGATTCGGACTCTTTGGGAGTGAAAGATTGACATGGTGGAGTAATTTGAATTTTTGCCTCGTGGGCCAACTTGTTCGGTATTGCGAAATTTGACTGAACATGGCTCTGGGAGAATATTTCACTCCCAGGTTCGTAGAGGACACCGCGTACAGGTGTTCAGTCTTGCCCACCCTGTGCTAGAGTTGTTTACATGATTCATTTTACCTGATTTGGTGCCTTGAGGTCCATGCATGTTTTTATCGGAAGATATGTGCTTTAAGTAGGGTGACTCTATTTGAAGTCTAGAACACTCACACTCAGATTTCATTTGCAGATACCGCTCGAGGTTAACCCTTACGGCGTACCACCTCTTCCGTGCATACCCACCTACAGGGAAAAGCGGGACAGTCCTGTGGCTATTCAAGTGTGCTTTCATCACCCCACAAGCACAATATCACCGCGAGAGAGAATGGTGTGGGTTTTGCTGGATTCGAACCAGCTTTCTCCTGTCTCAAATGGGGTAGGTGTTCATGCTACCCAGTATCTACTTGGGAGAACGGGCCGCATGGTCTACCACTGCGCCATCCAACCCTCGAAGCGAATATGCGCTCCACTTAAATCCACTGCCATCCTGAAATCGTGGCCACATGGTCAGTTACTCTCCCATGACCCTTGCAGATTCACAAAATACTTGTCCCACCAATCATAGCGTGGTTAATCCTGTTTGTGGAGCTGTTTGCCATAAAATCCTTATGAAGCACCGTAGCATACCGTTTATGCAGGTATGCATAAACCATTCTGTGCTATTCCTAGATCACAACTGAGAAGCCCCCGGTAAATTACAACATGTGCTATCCAAAGGGAGGTGAACAAAAAGCCCACGAAAGCAAAGTAAAAGACCCTTCCGCCTGCAAGAGAAGCAGAATTAGACTCGTATATAATATCGTCCCTTACAACCTTTAATTCCGAATCTACTAGCCAGGAGGGCATCTGAAATACATACATTACCTGACGACGCCACGTCCGTAACGACTTTTGGATGCTAGACTAGGCTCCTTCACAGCAGTCACTCTCGACCAAGACTTTTCTGACATCCTGTGCGTTCGTGCGTAGGGTTTGCCAGGTGGCTTACGGTGACCTGGAACTCAAAGCACGCCAGTAATAAGTATCACGGGATGCCTGTAGAGTTCGTTAAGTCAGATGTAAGTTGTTAGTTCAAAATCTTAACAGGAAACTCCTATTGTTACAAGCAAGCTAATACATGATTACATAATAAGTTCCCACTAATTTTCTCAACGCAATGTCCCGTGACCTGGACACACAATCCTTTCACGACCCTTGGTTTGTCCTGCGGCATGAATCATGAGAGGATTAAAGAGGATGCTAGGACGGTTGAGGGACGCTCTTAGGCATACAGTCAAATCCCTGTTAAGACGATGTAATCGGGACCGTGAAAAATATCGTTTTAAAGGATTTGATTACCTAATCCATCTACAGTCAGACCCCTGTCAAAATGACGTAGTCGGGGCCATGAAAAATATCGTCATACAGAGGATATCGCTGTAAAGGATATCATTATCTAATCCAGCTATCTAGGCTACTTTGTACTTTCAATGCGTCTTTTGTACTCCCAATTACCGTCCTTCATCGCTCTAATACTCTCAAGGTTAGGCCAGTTTCCAGCTCGCTGTCGTAGCGCAGTAGTACTTGGAGCTTCGTTGAGTTTCGCAAAGGTCTTGCTCAAGGACTCGGAGACTGTGGACTGGCTTAATCGATGGCCGTACTCAGCTAAGAACCACTCTATGCACTGTTTTTTTGTTGGTTTTGGGATGTGGCGGTGCGCCCATCATCGCAGAGCACGTCGTTGCTCTACAGAAATTCACTTTTTTTGGCGGCATTGCCAGCACCAACCTAACCAGAAAAACATAGTTAAGACGATATTTAGAGATTGAAGAACGATAATCGTGTAATCGGTAAATGTATGGGAACGAAGTCCGTTCCGTAAAAAATATCGTCTTAACAGGGGTCTGACTGTACACAGGTCTGCTGCGCCCGGCTGGCCGGCCTCTTCGTCATAGGAGAGCCCCGCACCCACTGGCTTCTTTTTGAGACTTTTCCCTGCAGCTACACACCCGCAAATGGCCGGGGGACGAAGGCTGAACACCTGTCAGTGGTGTCCTCTACGAACCTGGGAGTGAAGTATTCTCCTAGAGCCGAGTTTCAGTCACGACAAAGGGTGAGATGGATTTTTTTTGATGGATTTTCGACTTGAAGGAGTTGCACTCGAGATTTTGGTCGAAAAATCAGTCGGCAAAGATTTCACAGCCGGAACAAAGTCGAACAAAAAGTCATCACCACCAACATACGATTCACGAATGGGCCTAGATCTGTCTGGGAGTCGTATTCAAACATCCGACATCTCTCAAACTCCTTTTATATTTGCGACGAAGCATTTCTCAGTCGATCCTAAACCTGCAACCCACTTCTATACTCGTTCGATCACCTACCTACACACGCCCTAATGAGGAAAGTCATGATGGAAACGGGACGTATACAAAGGATGAAGAAAAGGGAAGATACACCGAGGGGATTACACAAATCCCCAATGACGAAAACAACCCAACGGTACGAAATGAAGGTGCAAGGCTAGAGCAACGATGAGATCTTGGACGGCTTTAATATTTCGGAGTCAATGAGGATGTCAAGGGCTCGGGCGCGTGGTGGCCGAGGCTGAGGAGGAAATTGCGCTACGGCGTGTATACAGCGGGTTTCTGGACGGTTAGGCTTGGTATAATTCGACACATAGGTGAAGTCACGGTTTCAGTACTACATGCTTGGGCGATCTTGTAGGTACAGTATATAAATTATGATTCTCTAGAGAGAGAATTCCTATAGCTAGACTACAAATATATATACACTCGGAGATACTCCTCTGCTACAAGGTTCCCCCTATGACTAAAATAATATGGAATCTTCGAAGATTCCCTAGAAGACTCTCGATGTGTCTGTCATCCTCATGAACCTTCAGTATACTTCCAGAAGTTTCATTAAGAATCTTCTAAGCTCCGTGTATCCCGAGAACCTTCCCGAAGATCCCCGAAGGTTCCCTTGATGTCATTGCCTGCGCTAGCCAGCGTAGGCTACAGGAATTCTTAGGCTTAGCAACCGTTACAGGTGAAGCCTGAGGTGGTTCGGTCATTAAAGTGGGACGAGGTTTATCTGTACTTCACGGTAGTTAACCTGATCCGGCCCCACCCCACACGTGCTTAAGCTCCAATAGGAGTGCAACGGTAGTCATGTAACCCAGCACGTTAATGAACAAAACAAAACAAAAACCCGCAAATGGCCATCGTTTCGTTGGCTGCAGAGGGGAGATAATGACGGGATAACGGCTCCTCTTAGTGTGTACTCGAATGAGACTTGTGGGAGTATGACTGCGGGAAAGAATTCGTGAAGGAGGCATAAGAGGGAGTACACTTGCCGAAGCATAGATACTCCCGGCCTGAAGGCAGAAAAGACCTATATATCCTTATGTAGTCATGGACTTATTAGGACAATAAACACACTCACTCACATCGCCTTGTGTCCCTGTCACTGTGCATTACCATTGAGCAAGTTTACTCCTATTTTCTTGCCTTGGGATGTAATTGGTATGGCTCTAACATTTATTCCCTAGCTCTACTATGCATTTCTGTGAATTGTAGCCACAAATTACTCCTGACGCAAACCTCTATGATGCTTGTCTGCCTTTCATTTGACACACTCAAATCCTTTAACAATCTCAGCCTTGTCCCATATATCTTCAGCCCCTCACTAGCGTCGAGTAAGCTTTTCGCTTAGCAGTCAGTATTGTATAATGATCCTACCTCAATACTACAAATAGATTAGCTAGAATCTTCTCCAAGCCTGTAGAAGTCACTCGTCCCAAAACCGCTCCAGTGGGACTTCAATTTGATCGGCTTGTGATATATTCTAGTGGCTTCTACACGACGAGTCGGGACAGTTATAAACATGTAAGACGCTCACTTGCAGGGCACAAATCGTGCCAAACATCTATCATTTCTCGTTAATAATCTACAATTCTTCATCGTCTCAAAATGCTATCACCTCTTCGATCTGGACGCATATCCAGGATCTTTTGGCCTAAGCTCTCTAGGGCTGCTCCAGCTATGCGCAAGATGTCTTTCTTCCCTCGATCATTCATAACCGGCGACCAGTCCACACTTCCTCCCATATTTCGACTCTTGGATGAGGTAGATCAGTACTCACGGAGGATTGACCGATCTATGCAGTCCCGGCTTCAAACATTTACACCCAAATTTGACGCGAAGGAACTTAATGACTCGTTTGAACTACATGGCGAGCTCCCCGGAATCGATCAAAAAGACATCGAAATCGAATTCACGGATGCTTCTACACTCACCATTAGAGGTCGTTCTGAAAGTAATCAAAAGAAAGATATGTCAACAGCAGGTAATGCAGAGGATAGATCTCCTGACGATAAAACTTCAAGTCCCGAAACCCGATCTCAAAATAACACTTTGCAAGCCACGGTAGAGGATACGCAAGGAAGCCAGAAAGATATGGCAACAATTGAAAAATCTGAAGGCATGAACGAGCAGGCTACGGAAAAATTCTGGATAATGGAGCGAAGTGTGGGAGAATTTTCGAGATCATTTTCATTCCCGGTGCGAGTTGACCAGGATAACGTGAAGGCCAGCATGAAGAATGGAGTACTGAGCGTCATAATACCAAAGCTTAAAAAGCATGAAAGTCGCAAAATTTACATCCAGTAAGATCCACGTTCCGGCAGAGACTTGGGCAAATGAATATTTTGGTGTTGAAGAGAATAATGACGCGATGATGCAATGATACTTTACTGGAAGCAAAATAATCGATTTTTTTAATACCAATGCATGTAAAGCAGTTGTACAATAAATGAGGAAAAAATTAGAAGTATTAAATCAAAATTTTAATTTTAGTATTTAAAAATTAGACATTTGGTTTTTGAAGCATATTTCCAAAACTTGACCGGAGCTCGTCCGTAAATCTGCCTGAAGCAGGCGACAAAAGCTGAGGTACTAAATTAATTCATCCCAGCTATTCCCTCGCACTGAAAGATACATGTCAGGGCAAAGGTCACAGGATGGATTGACGAGGTCTAATCTGGTGACTGAGATTGTATACAGAGAGAAAAGGTGACGCCTATCGAGTCTTATAATATTCAACGTCGTGCCCGCGCACAGCATATATGCTCCTCACGTACCGGTTAGCCCCATCTATATAAAATTACCCGACGTAGCCCCATTGTGCGAGAGAGACTGGCTTCGGCCGGCCATCGACGTAGTATGGGCTCACTCTATTTTCTTCTAAGCATCTTCCCAGGAGCTAAGCGTTTTACCAACACATTGGAGAAGGTCAGGTTCCTGTCAGAAATTTGCCCACTCCGTAACATATCAGTTATTCTTGTGAGGTAGCCGCTGCACAGCGCTCGCAGTCTCTAAATGTATTTTCATGGCCTCTGCCACTGCACATCACATTTTTTATTACTTAGTGGTCACCATGTCCCCTCAGGGATGAGGCTTTAGTTGTACCTAGTGCCCGGTAGATATTAAAAATAAATTACCCGACGTATTGGCGCCTACATAGACCCAACATAGCAAATGAAAACCAGCATCTTATTATCCTGTGATGGGAGATGTAATTGAACATGAATATCAGCCTCCCGTTGTCTCTCATGATTTGCAGATGTCATTCCATGGAGAATAAAAGGCAAAGTGATAAATTTAGTAAAGAGGAAAATTGGTTGCGACGCCTTAGTGCTCTCTCGCTTTTATAACATGCCTTCATTCTCGTCTGACTTGTTGTGCTTTTCCGAAAAAAAGTGGTCGAGAGACTTCTCTTCTCCGCTTGAGCAGGTAAGGATGGGGTTTCGTGCTGAAACCGCGGGTGGGTTTGGTTTGGTTTATTATTTTACGTCTATCTAATACAAATCCTAAGTAGCATATAAGTCGCCAAAGCTTACTGCCCTGGATGCCTGAGGCCTTTGACGGTCCGAACCTGAACAGCCAAAGCCTTTAGTTTTTATGGACAAAGGGTTATGGGGGGGAGTTATCCTGCTCCATAACATGAAATGACTATGCGATAAAGTTTCTTGGGCACGAAAATACTGGGACAAATGACTATCTATATATTTGGGTTGGGTGACAGGACCAGAGTGGAAAATCCTTCTGCGCAAATTTCTAGTCAGCATCAACATGGTGAGATTCTGCTCTGTGAGGATGTTGGAACTTATAATAATTGGGGCTATCAAGTAGGCCACGTTGTTGATACATACCTAATTACAAATTATGTACTAAGTTTCACTTCGTTAGCCACCTAAATTAATTCACTCTACAACCTCAATGACTAAGGTTGTTGGCAGGACTTAAGCACTAGTGCTGGGGACTGGAAATAGAGTGTGCTGAATTGTATATATTATTATTATTTCTATCTAGGGTTTTTCGAAACTCTACGAGACGTTCCCTTGGGTGGGTATTCACGGACGAGGGTTGACCTGGGGTGAAGAAAAAGCCACCATAACTTCGCAGTAGTACTTGCAAATGAATTCTGAGGCATGAGTGCCCTTCCTCTACATTGAATCATCTATTCTATACTTTTCTTTGATAATGTGTCATAGCTAGGTAGCTGCATACGCAATTAAAATCTGATGCCATAAAAAACAAAAGAGCCTCTACGAATTAGATGAGACGCACAGGCCTCTCCAGGCTAGTCAGCTATTATTTTCTGCCGAGCCTAACGGCCTGAGGTTGCAACATTCAGCCTGAGTGGAACCAACAGAGAGGTCATTATTTCCTCAATAGTAATATAGTTAAAAAGTATGAAGTATGAAATGGTTGTAGGTTCAAAGATATTGTCGCTAAAATGCTCATACATCATACTCGCTTACCTGGAGTTCTTCTGCAAGCGACTGCACTGAACCATGGTCGCTGAAATCAGGCGCCATTGTTACAACAGATACTAGGGGGTTGTGTTGAGAGTAAAAGAAGATATCGACGGCAAGGGCGATTAGGATTCCTCTTTCAAATGAGGACATTACGTGCGATTCTTCCTGGTTCTACTGGGTAAACCGAGCACACTAAGTTGTTACGACACCGCCGTGCTGTGAAGAATTTGTCCTTACCGGCAACGATGACGTTTGGCTGCATAGCATACCGGTCGATATCTATTAAGGCGCCGTACCAAACAATGAATCTTATCATGCTAGAATTTTAGACTGGGTGAAGATGGCAAAGCTTAACGCTGAATAAATACATAGGTTAGAGCACTGTGAAAAGGCGGGAGTGGCGCCAGGATTATAGATTCTCTGTTGTCAAAAGCTGTGTCCACGAACTTGAGGATCCAGCTACGTTAGGATCAATCCGACCTCGTAGATTATAGATTCGTCGCAAGTCTCCCGAACAAAAAACTTTTGTCTAAGATTTTTGATAATCTAGATCAAACCTTCAAGCACAGACATCACACAGCCCTAGCTGTTCAGACAACCCTATACGTTCTATTCGCGGGCTTCTATTGAACCTCATCTGCCATTCACATTAGAATACTATTCTACATTCTGTTCGTCTTTTCTGTGGAGGCATTCGACGGATGTCGCAAAATACGTGGGTGTGTTTCGTAGGGCAGTTGAATTATAGTTATCAGATCATGGTTATCCATTGAGTAATTTTGTGAGTGTCTAGCTAGAATGAGTATTGGCAGGTTTATTCAGTTTATGTCATCAGGACCTGAATGTGAAGGACCTCAAACATCAAATAACAATGATAGCTCTCCCGTGATAACCATCAAGCTTGGTGAAATTCTATACCTGCAAAAGGATTACAATTCTAGTATCGTCCAAATTCATCTCAAGGTTTGAAACAGGCAGTAAGCTTCGTATTTTCTGAGCAAGATCATCTAATCTCTATATGGGGCACCTCTTGAAATGATCGGTGGTAGTTGTTTACGAAGCGGCTGATATTTTAAACCCTGTAAGTCCAGGCTGGGGTGCTCAGATGTGATGCGGTAAATTTGGCCACCTACACGGACGAGTACGGTCATGCGTATTTTGGATTTCACAATCGTGGCGACTTTACGCTTTCCCAAGTTAGTGAGCCTGAATTACATCCGTCTACCTCCCATGACCAGCTGGATTCGCTTCTCTTCACATCACCCTACAAAATGTGGCTTTCCTCGCTCGTCCCGAGGCGAAAATATAGGATAGGAGCGACGTGCCTCTTTTCAATATGTCTTGTGCTAGTCAACCAAGGTCTTGCAGAGAAGACTGCTGCGGATTATTTCGTTCGATCTCTTCCAGGGGCACCACCTGGTCCACTCTTGAAAATGCACGCGGGACACGTTGAAATTTCACCTGAGCACCATGGAAACCTATTCTTTTGGCTCTACCAAAACCGGCACATTGCAAACAAGCAGAGACTAGTCATTTGGGCATGTCAAATCCATCCATTTGCATCTGAAACTAACAATTTTTCAAGCTTAACGGGGGACCGGGATGCAGCTCAGAAGACGGGGCATTAATGGAGATTGGCCCTTACAGAGTCAGAAATGACCAGAATGGACCAAGACTTGAGTATAACGATGGTTCATGGGATGAATTTTCCAACCTCATGTTTGTGGATAATCCGTATGGAACTGGATACAGCTACATCGATTCCGACTCTTTTGTACACAGCTTATCAGAAATGGCCGACCAATTTGTCATGTTTTTGGAAAAATGGTTTAAAATATTTCCACAGTTCGAACTAGATGATGTAAGATGAGCCTCGAAGTAAAATTGGTCAAGGTGGTTAACATGTCGTAGATATATCTTGCAGGTGAATCTTATGCAGGACAGCATGTTCCATACATCGCTCGAGCGATCCTTGATCGTAATAAAAAGAACGCGCAGAAATGGGGATTAAAAGGTATGCTAATTGGAAATGGATGGATCGCGCCCGAGGAGCAATACAAAGCTTATCTATCATTTGCATATGAGCGGGGCCTCGTACAGCGTGACTCTGATGTTGCTAAAAGAATAGAATCTCAACAGGCGATCTGTATGAAAGAGCTTAACCAAGCTGGTGGGAAGGATCGCGTTAGCATCAAGCAGTGTGAAGATGTCCTCCAGGAAATTCTACGAGAAACCCAGACACCAGGAACAGACGGAAATCAACAATGTATGAATATGTACGATGTACGGCTAAAAGATTCGTACCCTAGTTGTGGCATGAATTGGCCTCCTGACTTGGCCGATGTTACAACTTATCTTCGCAGGAAAGATGTGGTAGACGCCTTACACATTGACTCCCAAAAACAAACTGGTTGGAAAGAATGCAATGGAGCTGTAGGGACGGCTTTCAGGAGTTCAGAGTCTAAACCATCCCTAAGTCTCCTACCGGACTTGATTGCAGAAGTCCCAATTGTGCTTTTCTCTGGAGCTGAGGATCTCATATGCAATCACATTGGAACGGAAGAACTTATCAGCAATATGCAATGGAACGGGGGTAAGGGATTTGAATTGTCGCAAGGAACTTGGGCACCTCGTAGGGATTGGGAGTTTGAGGGACAGCCAGCCGGATTCTGGCAAGAAGCACGGAATCTTACCTATGTCTTATTTTACAACTCGTCTCACATGGTTCCATTTGATTACGCGCGGCGAACCCGCGATATGCTTGACCGATTCATGGGTGTAGATATCAGCAGCATTGGAGGAACCCCTACAAACAGTCGGATCGACGGAGAGAAAGGTCTTGAAACTTCTGTCGGTGGTCACCCTAACAGCACTGCTGCACAAGAGGCGGAATACACCAGACTCGAAGCTGCCAAATGGTCAGCTTATTACAAGTCAGGAGAGACGGTCCTCGTTATTGTCATTATTGCGGCTGGAGCATGGGGGTACTGTATCTGGAGGGATAGAAGAAAGCGCGCTGGCTATAAGGGTATCTTTGGCGACGACACTCCCATGGCTCTCGGCGGAGCACGTCGGAGTATACAACCTGAGGAGATAGGCGGTGTAAGCAAGCGAGTCCGGAGACCAAGGAGGGATGTAGAAGCAGTGGAATTTGACGAGAGTGAACTGGACGAGCTTCATTTTGAGCCGACAGAGAGCACTATCAGGGATCGTTACAGCATCGGTGGCGATAGTGATGACGAGGATGAAAAGATTTATGATGGGCTTGTAAATGCAAAGGGTAAGCAGAGGATATGAGAACATAAAGTATGTATTTTGTAGAGAACTATCAGAGGCCGACCGTTGAAAGGTTCCTCTTTTTCTAATGTAGTGTTACTCCTACAAGTGGGAAGACACAAGCTCACTTTTTACACGACTTAATTTTATCCTCACCAGCTAAGGATGAGTTGACCTCTATCTCTCACCTTGGGGTTTGATCACCTGAAAAATTGTTAGAAAGCCCCGAAACGGCTCTTAGCGTATTTCTCTAATGCCAGTCAACTTGCGTGAACAGTTTGGTGTGGGATAAGTCGATTATCGGGGTCAAGTTTCAGAGCTATTTATCACTTCTTTGCTCCTGGATGAAGATTTTTGCCAGTACGATTCTTGCATATATCATCGCTTTTTAACGCTCGGTCTCGGTTTACATTCCTCTGACTGGATAGGGTGCATCATGACTTTGTTAGGATACTGTGGCGTATTGAAAGAGTAGCCTTTACTCCAATCGTAACTAATGGCATAGGCAAAGATATTGCCGGTCCGATCGAATGCTGTTGCTGTGATGGGGCCTCCTACGGTTGGATAGCCCTTGAGCCTGTGTTTGGCAACTCCGTCCCAAAAGTGAAAGGTTCCGTCGGAGCCAGCAGTGCTGAAGGTGCCGTGCTGAGGGTGGAAGGAGATGGAATTGACCGAGTAGACATTGGTCATGTTACTTTGCGGCGGATCGCGATGGCATTTGAAGGAGAAGTTTGAGCTGCAAGAATTGAGCCGGGTACGAGGCATATGGCAAGCTAGCATCTCTTACCTGGAATCTTTGTCTTCAATGTACTGGATAGCACACCTCCCCTCGATACTGCCGACGGCGAAGCCGTTCCCCTCGGTAAAGCAACTTACGACTCGAGTTTGCCATTTGAGAGGGCTTTGGGTGGTCTTGTAGAATTTGGTGGGCTCGTTGAGGGCGATGACGTTGATGTAGCGATCGGCAGTGCCAACGACGAGGAGCTGTCCCTTGACGTCCATGGTGTACACGCGCTCCTGGCACTGAACGGTGGCGACGGGATTCGCGGTGCGCAGGTCCCAGTACTTGATGGTCTTGTCCCACGAGCCCGTCACGATCATGGGCGCCTGGGCATTGGCGGGCGTGAAGTACTTGACGCTGCGGATAGGCTGATCGTGGACGGCGACCTGCGAGGCCGTGTTGGTGTTGGCGCCGAGGTCGATCATGCGCGCCGCCTTGTCGGCGCCAGCCCCCACGACGTACTTGCCATCCTGATGGCGCCGTTAGTCTGTGGAATGGATAGACGCAGCTACACTATACTTGCCGGCGACCAGGCACAACTCAGCACGGGCGCCTCGTGCTCGAAGAAGGCTTTGCCCGTACTCCCGCCCGTACTCGTGATCTCGTAGATGCGCACCTTCTTATCCCACGATGCCACTGCGAGGTGCTCCGACTGCGGCGAGAAGGTCAAGTCAGAAATTCCATCCTCGGGCGGCGTATTCAGAGCTACGTCTTTGGAGAGGTCTCCGAGCGTGTTGGATTGGTTCGTCGACGTCGTGGCAGTGCCAAATATGCCGGCCATTTTGCTGAAGCGTGGATGCTAGCCTCGAGGTATTGGTCGCGAGGCGATTCTATTCCGGGATGACTTCGCGTTTCTTGATCATTGGCGGGACGGCCGAATGCGAGGAAGCCTGCCTTGTGTCTATCCACGCGATCTCGTGTGCTGGCCGGGTACGCTAGGAATTTTAAATAATTTTTGGGCTAGCCGTGATTGTTGGAAGGGTGGGGCCGTGTGGCATTGCGGCATGTCGCCAGGTCCACATAGACGTGTAGCGAGTAAGCGCCAGAATGCTGTCAACGAAAGGTCATAGTCGGCGCTAGTATTCTTGTAAATTGAGGTCATCTAGGGGTTTGAAACTGCCCCTGCTACTCGTATGTAGAGGGAGTATGGTCTGTAAATACTGCGTTTGTGGATCATTGACTATAGATACTAGTAAATATGCTTCGCCCTCTATTACGTGATAGAAGTTGGAAAGATGTACAGACAGGATGGTTGTGTACATTCCACTCGAGATACTACGGACCACACCTTTGTTACTCTCCCATGACCCTCGCAGATTCACAACATACTCATCCTATCAATCATCGCGCGGCTATTACTGTTTTTTTTCATTGTGTATGCAGCTCTAGCGCTATGAGACCTACATCTAATTATTTGTTGTAAATTACAATTGTCCTTCAACAGCTACATTTTTCTCCAAATTCTGTTAAAATGACAAGGTGTGTCTGGTTGGTGTGTGAACTTGCCGAGCCAGTCAAGGTCGAGCTTAGGAGTCGCGTCAATAACGCTACTCATGCAGATCAGTCGCGTAGAGGAAATTTGTACTTAGTAGTTATTGTCCGTCACTATTTTGTAGATAGTATACTATCGCTTCTCATTCTATCTGACCTCCTTCCACTGTGATAATTCTATTGTCTTCTCTACAGTTATACAGCTATAAAAGGCCTTCTAATCTAATAAATTCTTTTATTCATTTTATATTAATTTGTGCAAATTATATTACTTCATTCTAGGCACACCCTCTCGTGTATTCCTACATGAAGTTAAGCTGTCCCCTATTTTTGGTCAATTGATACAATTACTTGATTTAATAAATTTTAGTAGCTTTTCTCTCCCACCCTTGGTGAGTGGTTGTTTATTGTCCTGTTGAGTCTATAACTATGTAAGGATATATAGGTCTTTTCTGCCTTCAGGCCGGGAGTATCTATGCTTCGGCAAGTGTACTCCCTCACGACTTCTTTCCAGCAGTAATACCCCCACAGGCCTTCATTCGAGTACACACTAAGAGGAGCCGTTATCCCGTCATTATCTCCCCTCTCCAGCCAACGAAAAGATTGCCATTGCGGGTGTGTAGCTGCAGGGAAAAATCTCAAAAACCACTGGGTGCGGGGCTCTCCTATGACGAAGAGGCCGGCCGGCCAGCCAGGCGCAGCAGACCTGTGTATACCTAAGAGCGTCTCTCAACCTTCCTAGCCTCCTCCTTACTCCTCCCTTCATTCATACCGCAGGACAAATCGTAGGTCGTGAAAGGATGTCAGAAAAGTCTTGGTCGAGTGTGACAGTCGCGAAGGAGCCTAGCCTAGCATCCAAAAGTCGTTACGGACGTGGGGTTGTCGAGTAACTCATGTATCTCAGATGCCCTCCTGGCTAGTAGATTCGGAATTTATGATTAGTAGGGACGATAATGTAGACGAGTCGAAATCTGCTTTTCTTGAGGGCGGAAGGGTCTTTTACTTTGCTTTCGTAGGCTTTTTGTTCGCCCGCCGGTGGGTAGCACATGTTGTGATATAGCGAGGGCTTCTTTGACTACCGTTGTAGCGTTTGGTACGGCATTATCTTTCCTCATTCCCAGCATCATCATCATCGTCCTTGTCGTCTTATGTGTTATCGGAAGCGTATCTTTGATGGAGGGGGAGATAACTCAGCTCAAGGTTGATAAGGTGCTACTCAATCTCGGCTCTGTAGACTCTACAGTGAGAGCTGGAGGTTCGCAGGGGACACCACTGACAGGTGTTGAGAATAGTCCCCCTCCCACCCTTGGTATTTAATAGCAAACTAAGGCTGCGTGGCACCACATCTGAGAGCTCTTCTTCTCTTTGGGCTCTGAATTTTGGACATTGAAATATAGGCTGGTGGCAGGTTTGCTTCTCTTTTCCACAGACATTACAAATGTGACTGTCTGCTTATCCAATTTTGTTGAGGAGGGTGTGAATATTTTCAATTCCAAACTGACTTGAAAATATGCAGACTGGCTTGCTCGGCTGTAAGATTCTAAATTGACAGGCTTCATGGCTATTCCTGTTTGCGCAGCAGTCTGCAATAAAATCCTTATGAAGCACCGTAGCATAACGTTTATGCAGGTATGCATAAACCATTCTGTGCTATTCCTAGATCACAGCAAGTATGGACTGAGCGCCTCAAGGCCTGGCCTTGAGCATGATGTTTGTGGTATTTTGTATCGGTGATTCTACAATGTAAGCAATAGCACAGAATTGGATGGCCTCTTCCAATGCTCATCAAAGATAGTTGTATCCTCTGATATGGGCTTCCTACTCGTCCTAGGGGAGCTCTGAATCCATTGGCTTTGCAACTTTTTGCAGGTGTGATAGACCTGTAAAGTTTCCTTTACACGGGTTGCTGAGAAAGGAGGGATGGTGGAGGGCAAAGGCTCCTCGAAATGTTTACAGAATGAGGAAGTGTAAGGGACTGTATCGTTGGATGATAGCTTTGTAAGAGGCAGAGGAGAGGATATACCACGCAAGGCATTGGCGTTCCCAGCCCGGGGACAAGATGACCAACATTTCCTTTGTAATGATAGAATGCAACGGGAATTTGGGGGAGAGAAGCCGGGACATGGAGCGGCACTCAGTCTACCACCATTTCCAGAGGTTTCCAAAAGACTCGGATGATTTTGCTGAGCAGCAACATGAGCTTAGTATTGATTACCTTGAAAAGATACTTGAGAGACTATACAGCATTCAACTTTCGTACAAAAAACAGCTGCTCAACTGCTCAACTGCTCAAATGTTGCCAGCAGCGCTAGCGTTTACCATTCATATTCACGAGAGCTGTGCAGATGCGTATGTGCGGGCCATTGAATATTTCATTCTCTATCCATCGAATACCTTCAGAAATCGGGGTACTATTCTCAACATCTGTCAGTGGTGTCCCCTACGAACCTCCAGCTCTCACTGTAGAGTCTGCAGAGCCGAGATTGAGTAACAAAGTCCTCACTTCGACGAGGATTCCCAATCGCTCTCGCCGTCTGTATCGTCTTCATCTCTCAACACATTCCCCCATCACCATTATCATGAAGCTAACCTCCATCAGATCGGATGGTAGGGTCGGAGCCCTTCTCATCACCCACCCTTGATCAAGGAGGAGAAGCCATCCGATGAGTTTGCAGAGCCTAGCCAGGACCCAATACGAAGATGGCAGATTGGAGCGACTTGGCTTCTCGTGTTGCAAAGAGAGATGTAGATGAATATGCGCATCTGTGTGGTAGGGGCTGCAGGATTTCCAAGACTCGTTCCGGCGCACGCAGTTTCCGTTGCTACCCTTTTTTTTATTTTTATTTCTTGGGCTTAAGGTGCCGTGGAAAAAATGGCTGAATTCCACGGGTATCTACGGGGCTGAGTGGCAATTAATCACGACAATATATCAATGATCTTACAAGTAACAAAAGAGGCAAGGAGCACTGTACAAGCTGTGGCCTGGGTCAGAGAGGAGCACTATGTGCTACATAGTCATAGACTCAAGTAGTACCATAAAACTATCACGACTTATGAGAGATTGGGGCGTTGTACAACTACGGTTGGAGTGATTCAAAGGTGGTGAAAAGATTAACGAGGTTGTATTTATTTGAGATACTTGGAAGCCTTGTTGTCGGTGTAGCAGCGGTAAATAGCTTTAATATGCTAGCACAACGAGTTCTCGTAAGTGTGGAACTCGAGGGACAAAAGCTGGCGTGGACTCAAATCATAAGATTCTAAACTAAAGAGAAAAGTATGTAGGAGGTTCATCTGTTGAAATAAAGTTGCCAACACGAAACCTCCTGTCGCTCATTGCCTACAAGCCAAGGCTTTCGCATGAAAACCAATGTCCATGACACACCTTTCATATCGTGATTCGTCACACACAAGACCCGTGTGTGTGAAAAACGTTGTTGGAAATCCTGGATCGACCCTGTGTCGGCTTACCAGCTCGACGACCACGTGGCCACTAAGATGTCGGGGCGTCACAGTAAGCAGATGGTGAATTGCTATTTTAGTTGGTAGTGATGCAAAACTGAATATTATCAAGCCCATATATTCGAGCCTCAATAATCGGGCTTGAAGAAGTTTGTTGCCTGATTTTCCTAGACCAATCTTCCAGGCAATGAGCGGAAGCAGGGCATCTGTTGGTGGTGTGCCCTACGAATAGAATAGAATAGAATTTAAGTCCCTACTGAGTCTATGACTACGAAGGACTGTGCCCTACGAAGCTGGAGTGAAATACTCTCCCGGAACCGAGATTCAGTCACGAACATAGACGGGATGGAATATATTTGATGAATTGTCGGCTTGAAGGAGTTGTGCTCGGTAATTTGGTCAAAAAGCCAGGCGACCGAGATCTCACCATCGCAAGAAAGTCGAAGGAAAACTCATCATCACCAACATATGATTCACATATGGACCAAGGTTCGTCTGGGAGTATTATTCAAACAACGGATACTCTAACACTCCCTATGTATATTTATGACGAACCATTTTCCGGCCAATCCCCCCACCTGCCACATACCTCCACCCTCGTCTCACCACCTAGATAAACACGCATAAATGAGGAAAAGCAATGTGTAGACCATTTGGTGAAAAGGAGAAAAAACCCCAAAAATAGACCGACGGTATCACACCTTGCGCGGGAGTTCAGATCCCAAATGATGACAACGACTCAACAGTACGATGTTAAGGTGCAGGGCTTGGGCAACGATGAGATCTAGGATGACACTTGTATTTCCGAGTTCATGATGCTATCAAGGAATC